GTTTCTTATGTGAATTCTGAGTTTTTTCAACACTTTGAAAGCTTGTCTTATGAATGAACTGATGGCCCTAGGGTCTGAAGGGTGCCCAAAAGACTCCGGAATAATTAGGAATTAGGATCCAAATTCTCATGGAAGAAATTTTTATGAGATTTTAATAATTCTCTTAAAAAATGGGAAATTTGGTTACAGATCCCAGAGCGGTTAGTTTACACTGATTTTTATGCTTTCCAAGAAATCTGTAGTGTGCCCAAAGGATTCGAACGCTCAAGATACCTACTCAATGTTAAAATTAGGCATAATTTTATGACTTCAAATATTTTGTTGACGATTTGAATGTTAATAAACTTGTGCCCTTTGAACTATAAGTATAGTTTCTTGAGAAACTTTTCTCATCCCTTTTCTATAGTCTATATGAATTTGTCTATTTTCTAATTCTAACTTCCTCTTTTCGATTGAAAAAGTCAAAAATAAACATCGAAGCAATTTTAATTGATAATCGAAGGGATGAGCAATCTAATTACCGTCAAAATTATTTTAATAACTGTACTAGTAGATATATTATAGGTAGGAAAAGGTAACTAGCGACGGATGTCGAAACTTGACAGAAAGTAATAAAGTGAGCTTCAAATATAGAGTATCTTCTATTCGTCTTCTTACATGGTGTCAGGTTTTCCAAATGCCTAGATATAAACGAAAAACGAATGAAAATCCACCTTTAGATGTGGAAGAAAATATAGAAGATTTGAGAACACAGGTTCAAAATTTGCAAGCATTGCTGGCGCAGCAAAATGTTTTTGGACGACGGGAAAGTAAAACCGAACACACACGAGAAACTTCAGAGAGCAGCATTAGAGACGTCCCAAAGCCTGAAAAATTTTTATTTGGAAAGGATGAATGGGAAAAATGGTTGAAACACTATGAAAGGTACCGTGCTGCAATCAAACTTCAAAATTACTCTGAAAATACCCAAATTAACAATGTTCTACTTTTTATGGGAAAAGATGTTGGGAAAATTTTTGATCGTTTGCTGACAAAAGAAGAGGATTATCAAACTTATACGAGTCTTATCGACGATTTTAATAAATATTTTAAGAAAACTGTTAATATCATATATGAACGGGCTAAATTCAATTTGAGAAACCAAATCGAAGGAGAAACCTCTCAAGAATACATTGAAAAAGTAATTAAATTAGCAAAAAAATGTAATTATGGTATTATAGAAAATGAATTAATAAGAGATCGTCTTGTGGTTGGAATTTTGGATAAAAGTCTTTCAGAATCTTTACAGTTGGATACATTTTTGACGCTTGAATCAACAATAACAAAAATCAATCAGGCTGAATGTATTAAAAAACAAAACGGAGAATTGAGAAATAGGTTTTTGGATTTCAAAGAAATAAATACTGTAAGGAAAAATTCAAAATTCACCAAATTCAAGAATTATGAAAAAAATGAAAAATGTTCAAGATGTGGTTCAAAAAATAAACATATAATTCAGCAGTGCCCTGCATTTAAGATTGTATGTTCAAAATGTGGCATGAGAGGACATTACGCAAAATATTGTAGAACAAAAAGTATTAAGGAAATAAATAAGCAAACAGTAATGCCAACAACCAGTCAGGACTTATCATATTCTTCGACAGAATCCAGTGACGAATTTGAAAATCCAAATAAATGTAATGAAATAAAAATTATTGGAAATATATGCACACATCACAATGCTCCGTATATTGTAAAATTGGGAATCCAAAGACAAATGGTAAATTTTAAAATTGATACTGGTGCAGATACCACAGTTTTATCATATGCTACCTATAATATGTTGAAAGAAAAACCAAAATTACATAAAACTTGCGTTATGTTAGTTGGTGCTGGGGAAAATGCTAAGATTAATACCAAAGGAAAAATTAAAGTTGATGTAAAATACAGGGATATTAGAGAGAAGATCAAAATATTTGTGGCAGATACGAACGATAACCTTTTAGGAAGACCAGCACTTGAAAAATTGAAAATCATCAAATGGAAAGATGGAAATTTAATTATAAACAAAAATGTTAAAAATTCACCTATCAACGAAATAAAAGTAAGTAATTATGAACAATACCTAACTGATTTATTTCCAAATTTGTTTAAAGGCATTGGAAGAATTAAAAATTTTGAGTATGCTATAAAATTAGCTGAAAATGTAGAGCCTTATAGTGTATCTGTACCAAGACGGATTCCAATGCCTCTAATAGAAAAAGTTCGACAAGAATTAAATAAATTAATAAATGATGGAATAATTGAGAGAGTAGATCAACCTACCGATTGGTGTTCACCTATTGTAGTTGCTAAAAAAAAAGGTGATAAAATCCGAATATGTGTAGATTATACAAATCTAAATAAATTTGTTAAAAGAGAACTTTATCAGTTACCATCAGTTGAGGAAACGTTAGCTAAAATAGAAGATGGAATTTTGTTCTCAAAACTAGATTGTTCCAAAGGTTTCCACCAGTTAAAGCTTTCTGAATCTTCAAAACTTTTAACAACTTTTATAAGTCCTTTCGGTAGATTTGCCTATAAAACTTGTCCATTTGGAATATGTTCTTTGCCAGAAGTTTTTCAGAAAACTTTAAATCAGATTATAGACGTCTGTGGAGTTAATTCTGTAACCGTACATGCAGATGATATTTTAATTAGTGGCAGAAATAAACAAGAACATGATCAAAATTTATTAAAAGTAATGAAAACTTTAAATGAATATGGAATTACTTTAAATAAGGAAAAATGTTCATTTGGCGCAAATAAAATAAATTATTTAGGATATATAGTCAGCGATAAGGGAATTGAACCAAACAAAGATTATGTAGAAGCAATTACGAAATTTCCAAAACCGGAAACAGTATCGGAAGTTAGAAGGTTCTTAGGATTAACGACATATATTACAAAATTTTTAAATAAATATTCAGATAAAACGTCTCCTTTAAGAGAATTGTTGCAAAAAAATAACGAATTTATATGGGGTCCAGAACAAAAAAAATGTTTTTCCGATATAAAAAAAATGTTAACAGAAGCTCCAATTCTTGCAGCATATAATGTTAAATATGACATCAGAGTATCTGCAGATACTTCTATGCTAGGGATAGGAGGAATAATTGAACAAAAACAACCAGATGGAAATTGGAGACCTGTATCTTATTGTTCCAAATCATTAAGTAAACCAGAAAAAGGGTACAGTCAGATAGAAAAAGAAACTCTAGGAATAACGTATACTGTTAATCGTTTTAGGCAATTTTTATTAGGAAAACAATTTGAAATTAGAACTGATCATAAGCCTCTGGTAGAAATTTTAACAAAGAAACCTATTAACGAATTAACAGTAAGATTGCAAAATTTCAGAATGAAACTTCTAATTTATGATTATTTTGTGACTTACATACCTGGGAAAGAACTTACTGGACCAGATGCTCTTAGCAGAGCTCCATTACCTATTGGAACAGAAGATCTAGATATATTGGAAGAAAATTTTAAAACTATTGCAAGTCTGACAATTACAGCAGAATATCAGGATTTACAGCAAGCCCAACAAGAAGATTTGACGTTAATCAAGTTGAAAGAGTATTTTTTGTTTAAAGGATGGCCTGAAAATAGAAATTTATGTGATAAAGAGCTACTTCCATTTTATAAATATAGGACAGCACTTGCTTTGGTGGAAAATTTACTTATGTACAATGATAAAATAATAGTTCCATCAAATTTAAAAAGAAAATATCTGAAATTTATACACACAGGGCATTTAGGAATTACAAAATGTATTGCAAGAGCCAAAAAAATGATTTGGTGGCCAGGAATAACTTCTCAAATTAAAGATCTTATTGAAAATTGTGAGATATGTATAAAAGATAAACCTCTTGTGACTGAACCGATTTTAAATTTGGAAATCCCTAGTCTACCTTGGTGGATTGTTGGATCTGATTTATTCCAATTTAAAAACAAAATGTATGCAACTATAGTAGAAGAACTCAAGAAAATATTTGCCAGATTTGGAATTCCAAAAATATTACGTACGGATAATGGACCCCAATACAATTGTTTATTCTTCAAAAATTTTGCAAAAACTTATGGATTTGAATGGCGTTCAAGCAGCCCATATCATGCACAATCAAATGGTTTGGCAGAAAGTGGTGTTAAAACAGCTAAAAAGATTCTTAAAAGGTCAGAGGATTTCAACTTAGGATTACTTGCCTACAGAAATACACCTCTGAGTTGTGGCGCGAGTCCAAGTCAACTTTTGATGGGAAAAAATTTACGAGAGCAAATAGAAGTTCCAAAATCATTTTTGAAATCAAAATTGCCAGATTTAAAAAAAATTAACGAGAATAAGGAAAAAGAGAAGAAGCAACAGAAATACTATTTTGACCAAAGACATAGAGCGCGGAATGTTGGAAAATACGATAGAGGGCAGAGGGTATGGATTTCAGATAATCAAAAAGAAGCATTCGTTCAAGATGAAGTGGCTCCTCGATCTTATAAGGTTGAAACAAACAATGGACAGATATATAGAAGAAATAGAAGATATTTAAAACGTTTACCTAATCTGTAAAATCATATTTATTATGTATTCTTTTGTTGTTACTTAGTTAAGTTTGTGTTTGTGAAGAAAGGGGGATGTACTAGTAGATATATTATAGGTAGGAAAAGGTAACTAGCGAGAGATGTCGAAACTTGACAGAGAGTAATAAAGTGAGCTTCAAATATAGAGTATCTTCTATTCGTCTTCTTACAATAACCATTTTTTATACCTAAATAATACATTTTTATCACCTTATGAAAGCAAAACTCGATAAGAAATCCCACAATTATTATCGTTCGCGTTATTTTATCAGCAGCAACTTGGCTAAACAATAATATCGTTCATCAGCTAAAATGAGACCTTATTATTCAAAGCACTTTTGTGATAAGAATGAAATTTAAACAAATTTATAAGTGGGTACATAAGGAGGTCAAGCATAATAATTTAATAAAATTCCTGATAATAATGTAGTACCAGTTTTAAAAATTGATTATTCAGTGTCAGAACAATAATTATGAATGCTAATAATTTACTCCAGCCTGGAACTGAACTTAATGAATTGAAATTTGATGGAGTAAGTTAATTATCTTCTGTGAGAGGATTCTTAATTTATTAAAAAAATACTCTTGTTTCAAATATATATGAAAGTTTCTAGATTGGTTCGTGTGCCTCACAGACCCAAAAATCCACTGGAAATATGAACCAACTTATGTTTTGTCTCAAGCTTCCTTTATCTTAGGAGGCATCATCACCCTTATACACGGTAAACTAATTAATTAAAATTATTATTTTAATAATTGCAATAATATTTTAGCTCTTATAAGAGGCAAACGTCTACCATGGTTATGGATTGGAGCAATTCTACATGGAATGTTTGTAGAAATACTAAGTTATGTTGCTCCAGATGTTAATAATTTCTGGCACTCGCAAACACCCATAATATTTTTCGGAAGAAGATTTCCTTTGCACATAATTTTACTTTGTAAGTTTGTATTAAATTTTTATATTATTTATATAATTAATTCTTTTGCAGATGCTTGTTTCATCTACAGCTCGGCTGTAGCTGTAGCCAAGCTACGCTTACCAAAATGGTCAGAGCCTTTCGCTGTTGGCCTAGCAGTAGTCCTAATTGACATACCTTTTGACATAGTCAGCGTTAAATTTGTACATTGGTTCTGGCACGATACTGATCCAAATATAGCTGACAGGCACTATTTCGTACCGTGGAATTCTTATTATTTCCATGCCACTTTTGCCGCAAGTTTCTGTTTCTGGTTTCATTTTTTGAAACAGAAGTTTTGCGTTAGTGAAGGAAAATGGATTCAAGGAAATAGGTAAGTATTATTTTTATTTCACAAAATTTACCCTTCAAAGTTTCCCAATAAAGAAATCATGGACTTGATTGAACCGATTACATATTGTATTTTTTTTCTAGTTTTCTCATGGAATTAATTACAACAATCTTGGCAGCAATCCTAGGTCCAATTGGAGGAGCCTTATTGTTCGTTCCAATCTACGACCCTTTGCACAACACCTACAAAATCCACTCGGAAGTGACTTTCTTCATCGTTTTCACAATCTTCCTAGTATTGGCATGGATGGGCGATCGCAGTCCAAAATCAGCCAGCAAAATTAAAACTCATTGGACCACATTTCTATTGGTTTCCTATCTAATCATACATTACACCTTGTTTTGGATTATTCCAGTATTTTTCAATCCGGAAAACGAAATTTCTACTGGTATAAAAGAACAAATTGGGCCTTGCGACGAATTTGAGCCTCTTCAAACACTTTCTGGAAAGGTATACCTATATTTTTTAATCACAAATTGATGTATATTATTGAAATTTTAGGTGCTACAAAAGCGGAAATACTTGTGTGCCAGCGACTATGATGAGAAATACTTCGATTGGAGTTGTTTGCCTAAACAGCCAAAAAGTGGTTCCTTGTGGTACACATCTTGCGGTACTCCGTTTGAAAATAGAGCGGAATATATTACTATAATTAGTTTGATATGTTTTTTGGCTTTTGCTGTGTTTTATCAGCTTCATTTTAATTCGTGGGGCGATGAAGTGTTTTCACTTGAAGACAACAAAAAGGCTGAAGACGAGAAGAAGGCAAAATCTACTAAGAAGAACAAATAATTTTGTATTTATTTATTAAAGAACTTTTTTATTTGTAATTTTGTTCAAGGTTCCCCCTTTCGTTTAGGATTCAATATCTTGAAATCCGTGAGAGATATTTGAATCAAAATTATCAGGAATTGTAGCTCCTATTAGGCTCTGAAGTATAAATAACCTGTTTTGAATAATATTTTCACGTTTATAATTTTTGAGAAAATTGAGTCTGAAGTTTTTTATTAAATTTAACTTTGAGGCTCAATTGCTCAAATATAATTTCACCGTGTTGTTTATGTTTATTATTCTTTTTGTTATTTTCCAATTTATTTATTATTTATGCCTCTCTCCTTTGAAACAATTAATTGTTCTATAATTTCAACATTAAAAATGTCTGTTACATTTGGCGCCCAACGTGGGGCCCTTCATTGTTCCGAGGGTGTAATTTCACCTCTTTTCATTGTTGTCAGATCACCAAATCTTGGTTAATTTTGATTGATTTTTTTATTTTGTTTTTTTTTCTTGTTTTGGGTCATTCTTGGTATATTTTAATGATAGCTGGTATTGTATACAAGAGTGAAGACTCATGTTGATTTTTAAACTACATATACTGACAGTAAAACTCTGATACGGACTGCTGGAGCAGGATATATTGAACAAGTGTGGTACGGGTGCAAGCTGGGTGCGAAGTTATCTGTGCTTATTTGTGGATTAAATATAGTTGCAGTGTGATATTTCTGTGTACCTGGATAGTGTATACCACTTAATTCAAAAATTTTGTTTCGCTGTATGTCAGCTGAGTATACAGAGTCCAATTCAATAAAATAGTGTTCTGTAGATTTATCTCTATTTATCCAAAATGTTGCGGAAAATGGAGGTTAATCGCCTGGGCAAGGAAGAATTGAAATATGAGTTGACTTGGAGGGGTATTGCGGCTGGAACTGTGGAAGAAATGAGAAGCCAATTGGCTTAGGCGAGGCAATTGGAGAAAGCTGGTGATAGTCTACATTATCCACCATATCCATTCACCTTCCAGGAAGATGCTAGTGACGTTCCACCAAGCTGGACGAATTGACGGATTCCGTAGACCAATTTGCTGATACTCTGCCATCAGAAGTCGGCTTTATTCAAAACTTCAGACAAAGTTAAGTCATGTACTGGGAAGGCTGGACAATATGGTCTCTAAGTCTAATGACGAGAATAATTGGAGAGGATTATTAGTGGAACAGACGCTAACGCTGATGAATCGGTTGGACACCAGGACAGCTCAAGAGAGGAGCATAAATAAACTAGCACCCCCAAATCTCGCAGTACCTACTGCAGGGTGGCATACATAATAGCACCAGAGCAATGTTGCTCATTAGGGCCAAGTAGCCCAACCCCTCGGGCAGCAAGCCCAACTTCCCAGCCACTTAGGACAGGCACCATTAAGCCCAGTGCTCAGCTCGACTGCTTTAGGTCAGGGAGCGGGAATGACGAGCAGTACTCCTTCTCCGTATTCGTCCCTTCGTTCGGCTGGTATTAAGCCCATTCTGCCCCACAAATGGAATCTAAGATTTGTTGGTGATAGGGGAGGAATGTCGGTAACAGCCTTCTTTGAGCGAGTTGAAGAACTCCACAGGGCCAGAAACGTGACCGAGGATATACTTCTCGACTCTGGAATCCATTTATTTGAGGGTCGAGCGTACGAGTACTACCAGGACTGCAGGAACGAGGTGATTGATTACCTGGGACAAGCTGGTAGAAAAATTCAAGGAGGAATACCAACCAGCATTCTACTCGGAACGGTTGTTGGTGGAGATCAAACGATGGACCCAGGGTCCAGATGAATCGATTGGTACCTACATGGCCATTATGGCAAAGTATTTTTAGAAGCTTCAATGCCCGATTACTGAGGAAGTCAAGTTAACAATTTTACTGAGGAATATTTCTCCAGCTTACCGATCTTGAATAGGTGCTTTGGATATAACTTCAATAACACAACTAAAATCGGTCTGTCGGAGGATAAAACAAGGGAACCTGTCAGCAGATTACGCTCCGCCACCTCGGAAGAACGTTTCCCTAGAGCCAGATTTGGCGTACGTAAGTTTAGATCCACAACTTGCCGAAATGCCGTCGTCATCTGGAACTTTCCCGAGGGGACAAAAGGAGACAATTTACTTCAATTGCAACAAGCCTGGTTACAGGGCTATTGGCTGTGCCGAGGACAAGAAGATATTTGTTATGGCTGTAAGAAAGAGGGCGTTACTAAAAGAAATTGCTCTTCGGGAAACGGACGCAGATCCTCCTAGGAAGTCGGCCTAGGAGTGGACAGAAAAATTTATCGACCGACTACCGCCCAATTTTGGACTTTATCCTAGACCATACCAAAAAAGATGAACAGCCTTTTTTGGAAATTGATGTTATGGGTTCCAAACTTCTTGGACTGCTTGACTCTGGAGCCTCCAGGACCTTCCTTGGATCAAAGGGTTGGAGAATACTGAAGGGACTAGATCTGTCCTTGAAGACAGATAGAAGATCGACATGCACAATCGCCAAAGGACAAAAAACACAGAGTATTGAGTGTTGAACTGCCTATAAGACTTAGAGATAGGGTACGAATTATTGAAGTAGGTAATAGTATTGCCGGACTTGCTTCACTCATTAATCTTGGGACACGACTTCTGAATTGGGATGGGAATAGTGCCCAACTTACGAGATACCCACATAACAAAATTTCATCCTTAGAATGTATTAAGAATGTTCTTTTTTTAGGAGGAATGTGCCTAGAATGTTCGCCAAAACCATTGCGAATGTCCTGAGAATGTTCTGAGAAAAGATTGTAGAAATACTGTTTGCAATACCCAAGAACTTCCTGGGAAATCCCTTAGGATATTCCTAGAATATACCTATGAGATTCTCAGTACATCCTGAAAAAAATATTCCTATTTGATTCTAAAAATATGCTTGAAATCTATACTCTCACATTCGAAGAATGTTTCTATGACATTATAGTTATGTTCTCAAAAAAATATTATACCAATATGCTTGAAATATTCTTAGAATATATCTACATATATCATTCTCAATATGCATCCTAGACATAACATTCTTGTTTGATTCTAAGGATATACTTGGAATGTTAATTTTCGCTTCCAAATAATGCTCCTTGCAGCCCTTTTATAATAAAGGCAGTGGAAGAGTTGTTGGAAAACTCTGGAAAACACAAGTATTTAACCAGAGCTCCGGTTTCGAGCTTGTTATGCTCTCGTCAAAGCACGCCAACTGAGAGAAACAGGTTCCAAGGTGATTCAAACGCGAGGCACGATGTAGATCTTTAATAGCGCGTGGCTCCCTCTCTTGGAAGTCCTACAAAGCAAAAGAAAAAGAATATACCTATAATATTCTTAGTAGGTTCTAGATAGAGCATTATTGTTTAATTGTTCAATTAAGACTTTTGAGTAGGTACTTTAGATAATTAGGTGAACAATATGAAAATATTCTTATCATGGTTACCTACCTTCATAAACTTCTCAGCACAACTTGGTAGGTATATTCTTAATACTTGATAGAGATATTTAACCGAAAGAACATTTTTTAGGGTACATTATAATAATGTTCGTATGACCATATTCAAATAATGTTCTATAGAGTAGGTTCTTATCACAATCTTTCAGGTAGGTGCATAGAAGCAACATTCCTAGTACATAAATAGAACGTTCAAAAATGAATATTTCAATCGAAACAATCTTAGAATATTCATTAAACATTCCTAAAAGAACATTCCAAAAAGCACTTTGAGGGAATATTCTGAGAATATGAATGTTCTTTCACTGTTATGTGGGTAATGAATGGCATTTTGCAGAGAACCCAAATACGATCAGCTCCCTGGAAGAGGACTGCTTGTTGACTGTTTTATGTAGTGAAGAGAATGCTCAGCTGAATGAGCTGGTAACCAAGTATAACAGTATAAGACTCTGATGGAAGATGGTGCCATTGGGTGTACCAGTTTACTAGAACATAAAGATAATTTCGAAGTCTGGAACCAATAAGGCAACGACCGTATAATAGGGTCTCTCCAGTATTACAAAAGACTATTGATGAGGATGAAATTGAGGAAACGATGAAGATTGGAGTCATTGAGCCTTTGAACAGCCCCTGGGTTTCTCCAGTAATGTTGGTTCCCAAGAAAAACTCCGATAAATACCGTTTGTAGATTATAGGATCCTCAATTCTAATACAGACCGTGATAGTTACCCCCTTCCCCCAGTCTCTGAGACTCTAGACAAGTTGAGGGATGCCAAATATCTATCGAGTATGGACACGCTTACTGGCAATGTTCCTATGGAGGAGTCTTCCAAGCTTCTAACCGCTTTTATTTGTCATTAAGGGACTGTACCAGTTCAAAAGAATGCCTTTTGGGCTGCATAATGCTCCCACCATTTCGCAAAGACTAATTGACCGGATTTTATCGGCTTTGGCACCTCATGTTTCTGTCTATTTGGACGATGTGGTTGTAGTCACTAGCACGTTTCAGAAACACCTATCAGTTTTAGAAGAAGTTTTCAAACGATTGGAAGATGTCAAAATCACCATTAGCTGGGATAAGGGTCAATTCTGTCACCTAGAAATGAGGTATTTGGGCTACGTAGTAGATAGACGGGGGATACGAGTTGATCCAGATAAGGTCAAAGCAATGCTTGAACTGCCACGACCTAAGAATGTCACGGGTTGTCGGTAGTTTTTCTTGGTACCGTCGTTTTGTGCCGGGATTTTCTAGTATTATTTTCACCCATAACCACTGGTCACCCGAATGCGAGAACGCCTTCAAAGAAATGAAAGAACGTTTAGTTGCTGCTCCCATTTTGAGTTGCCCAGACTACAGTAAAAGTTCGTAATCCAGACTGATGCTTCAGGCTATGGAATTGGAGCAATTTTGGTACTGACGATGGAGATAGAGTAATTTGTTATTTAAGCCGATCTTTATCGAAGCAGGAAAAGTTGTAGACCATGTCGGAAAGGGAGATGTTGGCACTTGTATGGGCCATCCAAAAGCTTAGACCCTACATAGAGGGCATTTTATTTACAGTGATTACGGACCACTATAGCTTGAAATGGTTGTTGAATCTGAAGGACCCCACAGGACGGCTAGGACGGTAGTCCATTAAGTTACAAATGTATTACTTCAAAGTGCAACATAGAAGAGGCAAAGACTTAGAACTACCTGACATGCTATCTAGAGTAGTACCTGTGCTGGATAGTATTAGAACCGAAAATGATAATAGCAAGATAGTTGCAGATAAATGGTGTATTAGAACGTTGGCGAAGGTAGAAAAATTCCCATCGAAGTTGCTAAATTGACGGTGCTAGAATGGGAAACTTTTTAAATATGTGAAACAATACTACAGTGATAGGTATCTTGACGTCTAATGAGTTGTAGAAGCTCACAGTTCTCAAGGATCAGCGGTACGCTATGATCAAGAATGCGCACGGCCCCCCGACAGCGGGACACATGGGCGTGTACAAAACATTTTCCTCCTTTCTTTAGGATTCTTATTTCAAAATCTTTAAGCCTCAATATCTTGAAATCTGCGAGAGACATTTAAATTAAAATTATTAGAAATTGTAGCTCCTATTAGGCTCCAAAAAATATGTATTAGAAAATATTTTCAGATTTATAGTTTTTGAGAAAACTGACTTGGAAGTTTTTGACTAAAATGCAACTTTGAGGCTCAATTGCTCAAAATTTATTTGAGCTATATCAGTCTCAATTCACCACAGATTTGCAGAGAATTTGATGTTCTTTGTAGTACAATTTATTTTGATTAGCGAATATTTATCACCCTGTATATCACACCAAAGTAGTGAATAAATAAAAGCATTGTATAATAAAAGTCTAAACTCATTAAAAATTTAATTTGGTATATTTTCATCATTATCATCATCTACAAATTCAGCATTTTCCTCCAAAGTAACCGGTAGCAAATCTCCCCATTTCGACGAACGAGCGCAATGATAAGTCATCCTAAAACCACTCAATATAAGTTTGAACTAAACAATTCCATCCACTTACTTTCCATGTTTCTTTGCTGTAAAAATAACTTCATCTAGATTCCCTCCTGCTGTACAAACTCTACAAATACTGTGTTTGGATCTAACAAGTGTAGGTCTAACAATTCTGGGCCAAACTGGCTCATTTTGACGAGGTCCTTTTTTCAAAACCACATACGAATAGAGTTCCTTATAAACATCAGGTTTTTGTCCTATGGGCATTGAAAAGTATTTTATTTCGTAGTTGCAAGGCGTACCGTCCTTGGCTAGGAATCTTGGACATATTTTATCGTGAGAGCACTGGAATATTAAAATATTTATTCAGGATAGAGGAGTTGGAAATTAATATCTTACAGGACTAAACACATGTCCTATGCTGCCTTCTTTATCAATTTGCAATATGAAATCTCTTACTTCGTTAACAACCTAAAAATTTAAAATTATTAACTTCAAGCTTTTAGGTATCAGAGTTTTCTACCTTATAACCAGCATTAGTGCCATGCTCGACTATAACTAAATAATTTTTTGTTTTGTTCCATAAATTTAAAACGGTTTCTAGTCTTGAAGTTAATGATGGTAGTTCCATTAGGGAATATGCTGAAGTTACCAAGTCATATTCGACCTATAAAGCCAAAAATTAGTTATTTATTATGCAAGGGAAAAAAGTACTAGATTTTAGCGCGAGGTGTAGCAAGTGCTAAAATCTTACTTTTTTCCCATGTATAATACACTATTTTTTTCTGTGACAGGAAAATCTCAACATTTTCCATCTATACATTATTCTCTTTGAGAAAAAAATTTGACTGGTACCTGTTACTTTTTTCCCTCGGGAAAAAAAATTGACTGGTACCTGTTACTTTTTTCCCGTGGGGAAAAAAACACTTTTTTCCCATGGAAGAAAAAGTGACATTTTTGCCCCTGTCAACAGGTACAAAAAGTCAACTTTTTTCCCGTCACAGAAAAAAAAAAATTTTGATTAAGACAATATTCTATAGATTGTCTTACATTTGAAGCAGGTAAAAATTGTCTATAAAAAGTCCCTTTAATCATAGAATTTCCAGTCCCAGTGCCTCCTTGTAACAATATCTGAGCCAAATCGTTCATTTCAGCTGAAGAATCGACATTATAGTATTCGTAAATGTGCTTTTTCCAGTACGAATTGGCGGCCCAAGTTACTGTACCTATGCCGGATCCGAAATCGAATAAACTTCTAGGAGTGAAGTCTGTATCTCTCTGAGCGATTTCTCCGAATATTTTTGATAGGACTGCATATTCTGCTGGGGCTCTGCCTAGTAGGTATACTAGGGAATTGTATGTGTCATATTTCATTGGTTTCCAATTGTAAGTGTTTTCTCTGGAATGTGAAGTTATAATGTTATGTAGAAGTGAATATAAAGTTTCTGGTATCAGGATAAAGAGGAAATTCTGATTTTGAAACTTCTGTTTTGAAAATGAATGAGCTATTGAACTAACAAAATTAAAAGACTTTAAAGCTTCACAGTTACGAAACTGTTGAAGCTGCATTAAAAACATTTATTAGTGATTTGTAGACTATTCCATTGGCCTCAATTTAAGCCTAATTACGTTAACATCGGATTGAAATTAACAAAGGTGTAAGGCAAAATGTATGTCAGCGTCAATATCAAATGAAGACAAGTCTGGTAGGTAATTTTTTAACTACATATAAGTTGCATGAAAACAACTTCAAATAGTCAAAAATTCACCTCAAAATGAAGTTGACTTTCTCCTTTATCATGTGCTTAAACTTTTGAGCATCTTCAGGGTTTTCCAACGTAACTTCCCCATATCTTTTAATCAGTTTTTGTTTGATTTTTTCCACGTGTTCTGACAACTCTTCCCTTTCCAAAGGAGGCACTTTTTTTGTTAAATGTGACGACAATTTACGACCAGCTTCTACTAAAGATTTAACTGGATAATCTAGGCAGAAAATGTAATTATTAAGTATTAAGTATTTTAAATAGGTATTTAAGATTTTACCTTCTAAAGTTTTAATGGCAGCTTTAACAAAAGTATCTGGCACAGTGAATGTTTTAGTTTTAAATACTCCAGGATGTAGTCTGGGCTTGTATATTTGGTTTGAAATATCTTCGAGTACTTTAGTATCGGGGACAACTTTGGGTTTGGGGGTGGCACTGCTGGAAAACTACAAAAATATTGGTTTTAGCTTATTGTCAGCTTAAAAAATAGATTAAAATATACGTTTTTAAGGCATTGGCTGCACGAGGGCTTAATTATTTTGTTCAAAATCATTGTTTGTTTTTGTTTACAAAAATTTTAAAAAAAAGTGAGGTTATGACGGTTATGTTGAGATTGAAAGAGAAGTGTTTTGATTGGTTGGTGGGTGACATTTTTGTCAAATGACTGTCATTGTTGTCACAACAAATCAAAACAAAACTCAAATTAATTTTGGCTCAGCTCAGAACAAAAAGGTAAAATGTCTTCAACAGTGACCACTACAACCAATTCCCACTTGAAAAACAAAACCAAAAACCTTCAGCAAGCTACCAGTTCTTCATCAGACATCGACCAAGTGCTAGAAAACGTAAAAACTCTGGACAACGTTTGCACTTTTACCAAATGCAAAAGCAAAACCAACCTCATAGCAATTGACTGTAAGTTTTGTAAAGGCAGGTTTTGTACCGCTCACGGGTTGCCAGAGATTCACGGTTGCGGTGAGGCCGTGAGGCGAGATGAACGACGTGAGTACATGCATCCCGAGCCAAAGTTGTCTCATGAGAAACACGATCAGGCACAGACCAAGCTGAACATCAGATTGAAGCAGATGCAGAACGAGAGGAAATCGAAACAAGGGTATCAGAATAAGGGGAAGAAAAAATAAGAATTATTTATTGTATTGTATTTAATATATTATTGTTTTTTAATTTATTTGTACTAGCATACTTGTGACGTCATTTTTTTTTTGTATACATTATCCTAGGAGATTGCAGATTCCTGTAATTTTGACAATTTATGTCCATGTCATGTTGATTGTTGGGGATTTGGACGATTTGATATTTTAAATTTTAAAACCCATTTCCAAAAATCTAACCAAAAAGTTTAAATGTTTCCTATTTAATATTAACATGTAAGTTTTGTATAATGAGTACTACTAAACTCAACCCCTGGACCAAAAACAATCCTCCGAAAGTAAAAAAAACACCCCAAAAATTGAAAAATTTGGGGGGTACATCTTCGTCTGGAGAGTCCAAGTTTAAGGAAGCCCAAGTTAAACTTCAAAGTGCGGTACAAAAACACATTAAAGATTACGAGTCTTCTTCGGAGGAGGAGGATTTGGATTCTGCTGGTACTTTATTAGGTAAGTAGGTACCAAAGTACCCTTGCTTGTACATTACAAATTGCATACAGAATCCAAAGGAAAGAGACCAGCTGTAAAGTGTTCTCATGTTCTAATGTTCCTCATTTTAAAATTTCAAGTTACATATTAACATTACAAGACCTTAATATTTTAAGAAAAATTCATAAATGTTTAATACTGCCCAAACTTTTGGTAAATACCTATATATATTTGCAGGCATGTCATAGGTAGCCAAATATTGAATCACGATTATTTTGCTAGAAACGACATCTCTATAACAAACTGATGCCACACATCTATGGAAAAGAGGATTAAAACATTTTGACGCATACACAAACTCTGTATCACGAACTAAATCTTCCAAAGTTGGAACAAATTTTAAAATTAGAACAAATTAAATTGATATATAAAATATTAAATAATTTGCAAAAATCCAACACAGAGCTTGTGCATGTAAACGAGATTCACACTCATGATACAAGGTTCCATGACCAATTGCATGTAACACAGAGTAGAACAAACATAGGTCTATACAACCCAATAACAAGTGCAATTAGGGCATACAATGAATTACCAGAAGACATTAAGATTATAGTCCCGTTTAATAGGTTTAAGTATAGGTTAGAATTGTATCTAAAAGCTCATTAGTTAACCATATGTAACTATAAAAGTGATATTGTATTATGTTCCTAAGCCAACTTTAACACTGCGCTAAACGTAGTAAGAGACTCTCGAGACCAATACTTTTGTACTGATTCGAGATCATAAATTGTTATGTAATTTAAGAATTTAAATAAAGTTATTTTTCAAAAAAAAAAAAAAAAGCACCCTAGATTATCATTATATTACATTGTACAGGGTGTTCCATTTAAGATGGTTTTTGTGAAAATATGGACATTTCCATCTTAGTCTCGGGCACAAACACTACTGGAAATTATAGGCAGTACCAAAATACATCGTTTGAGAAAAGAAGGTAGCTACCCATAGCTACCTTATGATTTAGATTTTCGAAAATTTTGGAAGGACATAACTTTTTTTCTATTATAGATAAAAAGCTGAAATTTTCACTGAATCTTATCTCAATAAAGGGACTACAATCCCTGATAATTTCAGCTCATTTGCACTTATAGTTCCTGAGATAAAATCTTGTTAAGCAATTTGGGGTGATTTATCAGTTTTTGTGTGCCTTTTTCCATAGATTTCGGCTTCAAATCTGAGAATAATTTAGTGTATGGAGTTTGGGGGATGTTGATTGACCATTAGGATACAAAATCTCGAAATTTTTTTTTTTTAAATTTCAGCGTTTTAGTAAGAAGGTCCTTATGATTTAGACTTTGGAAAACTTTGAAAGGTCATAACTTTTTTTCTATTATATATAGAAAGCTGAAACCTTCACTGAATTTTATCCCAATCAAGGGACTACAATCCCTAAAAATGTCAACTCATTTGCACCTATAGTTCCTGAGATAAAATCGTCTTGAGCAATTTCGGGTGATTTATCAGTTTTTCAATTTTTCTGAGTGCCTTTTTTCATAGATTTCGGCTTCAAATCTGAGAATAATTTAGTGTATGGAGTTTGGGGGATGTTGATTGACCATTAGGATACAAAATCTCGATAATTTTTTTTTTTAAATTTCATCGTTTTAGTAAGAAGGTAAAGTTCGTTTCACCAGGGTTCATACTTGGCATTGAAACTTGACAAAAAAGGCTTGTTGTAGATTAATTCATATGAGACATTCAATTTTTCTGACAAATTTAAATGAATGACGTCTGATTTAAGAACCGACGAACGTTTTTGACGTCATTGATTTGTTTCAGTCAATTTTTATTTGTTAAACAAGGAAGATAAATGCTGGTGGCAAGTACAAACCCTGGTGAAACAAACTTTACCTACCTTATGATTTAGATTTTGGAAAACTTTGAAAGGTCATAACTTTTTTTCTATTATATATAGAAAGCTGAAACCTTCACTGAATTTTATCGCAATCAAGGGACTACAATCCCTAAAAATGTCAACAAATTTGCACTTATAGTTCCTGAGATAAAATCGTGTTAAGCAATTTGGGGTGATTTATCAATTTTTCTAAGTTCCTTTTTTCATAGATTTTGGCTTCAAATCTGAGAATAATTTAGTGTATGGAGTTTGGGGGATGTTGATTGACCATTAGGATACAAAATCTCGACAATTTTTTTTTTTAAATTTCATCGTTTCAGTAAGAAGGTACCTACCTACCTTATGATTTAGATTTTGGAAAACTTTGAAAGGTCATAACTTTTTTTCTATTATACATAGAAAGCTGAAACCTTCACTGAATTTTATCCCAATCAAGGGACTACAATCCCTAATAATGTCAACTCATTTGCACTTATAGTTCTTGAGATAAAATCGTGTTAGGCAATTTGGGGTGATTTATCAATTTTTCAATTTTTCTGAGTGCCTTTTTTCATAGATTTCGGCTTCAAATCTGAGAATAATTTAGTGTATGGAGTTTGAGGGATGTTGAATAACCATTAGGATACAAAATCTCGACAAAAAAAAATTTGAAATTTCATCGTTTTTGTAAGATTGTGGATACAAGAAATGTCATAATATACAGGGAGAGTCATTTAAAAAAACATAACTTTGTGTCACCACTCCTTATTGGGCCACCCTGTATAATGGAAAATAATTTAAAAATGTAGTACTCATATTTATCTCCGTTAGTATAGGAGATATGGACCACCGCGCGATTAGTAACTCTCCCTGTATATGTAATGTTCACCTGAAATATTGAATATATACCTAGTGTTTACATAACTGAATAGTGTACATTTTATGTAAAATTTGGAATTGTGTTGTCTCTCTAACGGGTAGGTATGCAAGGAAATTTCAAAATTCAAGAACCAAGTTGTAAACAAAAGTATAAAGAAGGAAATTTTTTTTCAAAGTTCTTGAATTACCGTCAATCCTTTTTCCAGGATCTTGATTCTCGAACCCTTTTTATTTTCGTTTTTTAGCTCTCGAAAGGAAATGAAATGAGGATAGATATCCTTGGAATAAGTGAAATGAGATGGCTAGACACTGGTGATATAAAAATCGAGGATTATAGAGTTCTCTTTCGGGCACTAAGAATGGAAGGCAGGAACACGGTATGGGTTTTGTCTTGAACAAGAAAATCGCGCAGTGTGTGAAAGCCTTTATACCCGTATCAGAAAGAATAGCACTCATCCAAATAAGAGCGAGTCCGGTCGACATGAACATCATACAATCATATACTGCAAGAACTGAAGAAGCATGATATCACAATTGTAATGGGCGATTTTAACTCAAAAGTGGGAGAAGGTCATACATCAGACATTATAGGATCACATGGACTAGGTGAAAGAAACAAAAGAGGGGACACACTTGAAGTTTTTGCAACAACAAATGAACTTGTAGTAATAAACACTTGGTTCAAACTGCCGCCAAGAAGATTATATACGTGGAAAGCACCTATGGATGAACCGGGAAGAATAGTCAGAAACCAAATCGACTTTATGTTAGTCAATAAGAGGTTTAGAAATAGCTGCCTATCCCTCAAAACATATCCAGGAGCTGACATTGGATCAGATCACTGTCCCTTGGTTGGTGTATTTAAGGTGAAAATGAAGAAGTTCAACACTAAGATGACTCCAAACTATGACCTTCAGAGACTCAAAACCCCAGCAATAGAGGAAGCAGCAGCAATAATGCTCAACGACAACATTCAGCCAAATGAAAACAACAACGTCGATATGGAACTAAACAAATTAAAGCAAGCAGTAGAAACAGTAAAGAAGGAAATATTAAAGCCGGACAAAATAAAGAGAAAATTTTGGATGACGACAGAAATATTCAACTTGATGGAAGAAAGAAGACAAAATAAAGGAAATCCAACGGAATATAAACGTATACAATGCATTATAAAACAGGAAATAAGAAAAGCGAAAGAAAAAGAACTACAAGAAAAATGTCGCGAGATCGAACACTATCAAAACATGTACGATGACTTCAATGTTCACAGGAAAGTCCGAGAAGTAACAAGGAAAGGCCACAAAAACAACTGTAAACTTTTGGTCAACGAAGCAGGAGAAATCATCATTGACGCGGAGAAAAAGAAGGAAGCCTGGAAAACATATCTAGAGAATCTATTCCATGATGTACGCAAAAAACAAAAACCAACTGCAGGAGAGAAACCGGAAATTCTTGTGGACGAGGTGAGAGCCGCCATTTCGGAAATGAAGCCACGGAAAGCAGCTGGTCTAGATCAAATACATACTGAATTCCTAAAGTTACTGAACGAGGATAAAATCAAATGGCTGACCAGAATATTCAACAACATCTATTTAACAGGAGAAATTCCAGCGGATTGGTTAAGGTCAGAATTTATCACACTGCCGAAAAAAACAAGTGCCAAAACCTGCGGTGATTTTAGACAATAAGTTTGATGAGTCATCTCTTAAAGCTGTTTCTCGAGATAATACACAAAAGAATATATAGACTTTGTGAAGAACAGATTTCACCGAACCAGTTTGGGTTTGTGAACGCCGTCGGTACAAGAGAGGCTCTATTTGGTGTTCAGGTTTTGTTTCAGAGATGTAGGGATGTCAGTTGTGATATATATGCTTGCTTAATCGATTATCAAAAAGCATTTGACCGAGTCCAACACGATAAAATGGTCGACATACTGAAGCAAATAGGAATGAATCACAAAGATTTAAACATAATTATAAACTTATATTGGAACCAGACGGCAGTTTTGAGAATGACTGGCGGTCACACGGAACAAGTAAATACACTACGAGGAGTGAGGCAAGGCTATGTTTTGTCGTCCATTTTATTTAACGTGTACTCAGAATGCATCTTTCAAGAAGCACTAGACAACATTGAGGAAGGAATCACTATAAACGGTACTAAACTTAATAACATAAGATATGTAGATGACACCATCATGTTTGCAGATAGTCTGCAAGGATTACAAAGTTTGATGGATAGGGTGACCAGAATTAGTTCACAGTACGGGTTAGAAATGAATATAAACAAAACCAAACTCCTCATAGTAAGTAAAAGAAACAACGCGGAAGACAGTTTATACATCAATCACAGTAGAATACAAAGAGTAAGGCAGTACACATACTTGGGGACAATCATTAACGAGAGATGGGACAACTCTCAAGAAATACGATGTCGCATCGAAAAGGCCCGGTCTGTGTTCATTAAAATGAGCTCGCTTTTCAAAAGCCATGATCTATCCTTGGACATGAAGCAGAGACTTTTGGGTTGTTACGTTTTTTCCCTCTGTATGGCGTAGAAACTTGGACACTCACTAAAGAGACTACCAGGATAATTGAAGCGTTCGAACTCTGGCTGTACAGGAGAATACTGAAAATATCTTGGACACAAAAAATTACCAACATAGAAGTAATGCGTCGGATGAATAAAGAACTAGAACTGTTAGATACCATAAAATGTCGGAAACTTCAGTATTTTGGCCACATAATGAGGAACCCAAATAGATACGGGCTGCTACAGGAAATCCTACAAGGCAAAATTAATAGCAGGGGAGCACCTGGCCGAAGGAGAATATCTTGGCTTGACAAATCAACAGTAGAACTTTTCCGAATCGCCATCAACAAAGTAAGAATAGTCATGTTGATAGCCAACATCCGGAACGGATAGGCACTTGAAGAAGAAGAAGCTCTCGAATTTTCTTAATTTTGCTTATGCCAGGCCCGTGAGTTTTCCGTATTCGGGAGAAAACAAACATTCAAGAGCCTGGAATAGATAGAGGAAGTTGAGGAACAAATGAAAAATGAGGAGGAAGAACAAGAAAAAATATATAAAATAAACCTGTTTAGGCCTCTGATTGAGGTGTCAACTTTATTTAAGTGTAGATCACTGGATCATAAAGGGGATGGGGACGCTACTGGTAAATAATGCACTTAACACTTCTTTAATTCTCTCTATTGTTGCATAACATCAAAAATCTAACAAGTTTGTGCAGTACAATCAGTACAGGATAATATGGTTATCAGGCACTAGCCAATCCACTAACACACTTTTATTTCACTAGTGTAGGGTCAAAATTCGAGTAGGTAACTTTACAATTCATCAGTGGACTTTATTCTTGCTGTATTCAATAAAAGATAGTTTTTCACTTTTCTTTTAACAATGATCTTAGAAAAAAGAGCAGGAGTGAGAGAGAAAGCGCAAGGGTGCACTGGAGAAAACGAAACTCCTCTGCAATCCTCTAGATAAAAAGTCTACGCGAAAGAGGGTGTGAGAGAGCAGGTTCAATTTGTAGGTGACAAACTGCCGCCTAGAGCGGGAAGGAAGTACAGCCTGGGTCGCAATATTTAATTTTTTTCTTGCTTAAAAATAATGACTTTTTGCATAGCAACAGGAAGAGTATTGTACTGCGGGGTGCTTTGGCGCTGTTGCCACTGTGAACAAAAGTTAATAAATAATTATTGAATATTGTTTGATTTGTTTGCTGTTTGTGTTTCCACAACAAAACTATCAGTGCATTTTACCAAAAACAACCTTCGCCCTACGGGCTCGTGATTAAATAAACCCTCGCACTACGGAGCCTGAAACTCCATACAGTGATTTATATGTCTGATTTGAAACCGAAATATATGAAAGAAGGATGCCAAGAAAATTGAAAAACCCAAAAATTTACTCCATAGCCACGAAGTTATATAACCAACATATTTTTAGGATGTAAGGTCTGTTCCAACACGTCAAAAAATCGTCCCGTGAACGGTTCTGAAACCACTCAGTGACGGTACATTGTATGATTTCTTGCTGTGTTGGAACAAAACTATAGTCAGACCACTGACTAGTAATTATTGCATATTTTAGATTCGATCCTCAAACAGTACAATGACACAGGAGGCACCAACGATCAAACCATCAAAACCCAATCGTTCATCCAAGAATCTTTCCTTTCCGGCGCCAACACTTGCCTAATTTGTATTTCTCGCGTCAAAAGGGACGATAAAATATGGAACTGCTCCAACTGCTTCGGTGCCTTCCATTTGGGGTGCATCCAAAGATGGTCCAAAGACACCGTCATGCAACAAAAGCAACGCTTAGAAGACCAAACTGCTCCGCTTGCGAAACGCTTGTGTTGGTGTTGCCCCAAATGCCGCTCGGAATACTTCCCAGAGCAAAATCCCACCAAATACATTTGCTTTTGCGGTAAAACCCAAGACCCTAAATACCAGCCCTTTTTGGTTCCACATTCTTGCGGAGAACTTTGCAGAAAAGACTTGTTGCCAAAGTGCGGTCACAAGTGCCTGTTACTATGCCATCCGGGGCCTTGTCCGCCTTGTCCGGTAACAGTTTCGGCCTCTTGTTTTTGTGGCACGCAGCCACCAACCACTAGAAGGTGCCACAATAGAGGGTGGTCTTGTGGAAACCCTTGCGGGAAAATTTTGTCTTGTGACAAGCACACTTGTAGTGACCCTTGCCATAGTAGAGAATGTAAACCTTGTGCGAAAAAGAGCGTGCAGAAATGTATGTGCGGTAGTCAACAGAAATTGAGGGATTGTGCTACACCAATTTGGCAATGTGAAAAGGTAATTATTGAGTAATTTTGTTATAATTTTACTAATTGTTATTAGGTCTGTTCTAAACTGTTGGACTGCGGCAACCACAAATGCCAAGAGGTATGTCATGCAGGGGTGTGCGATTCTTGCCCCTTAACAAGACCCAGATCCTGTCCTTGCACAAAAACCGTCTACAATTTGCCTTGTACCGAAGAAACCCCAACCTGCGGCTCCACTTGCGATAAAATCCTAGAATGTGGCTTGCACACGTGCAACTACAGGTGCCACAAAGACAAGTGCGGCCAGTGCTTGGAAATCGTAACTAAGGCTTGTCGGTGCGGCCAGCACTCGAAAGAAATACAATGCTGCAAGCCGTTTTTGTGCGAGAGCAAATGCAAAAATGCCAGAGATTGCAACAAGCATCCTTGTAATAGGAAATGTTGCGACGGTAATTGTCCGCCTTGCGAAAAGCCATGCGGTAGTACTTTGCAATGTGGTAATCATAAGTGCGCTTCGGTTTGCCACCGGGGGCTTTGCTACCCTTGTCAGCAGACCAAAGAGGTGGCTTGCAGGTGCGGAGCTACGAAAATTACAGTTCCTTGTGGCAGGAAACATAAAATTAAACCTCCGAGGTGTACGAAGCTATGCAGGATTCCTCCAGATTGCCATCACGAACAACGTGACAATCACCGGTGCCACTTCAACGATTGTCCACCTTGCAAACAAGTTTGCAACAAAACGCGAACTTCGTGTCAGCACCGGTGTTCTGCTGTCTGTCATTCGGCGGTTCTTGTCAAAATCGAAGCTCAGAAAGCCAGCATGCCGTGGGAAAGAAGCTCCCCCAAAGTGGAGAAAGTCAATCAGCCTTGTCCGGATTGTGAAGTGCCCGTTAAAGTTACTTGTTTAGGTGAGTTTTTGAATTTTAGTGGAATAAAATCGATCCTGCAACTCGCTGTCTTTTGAGGGTAGGTAATTCGGAGATATTAATTAGATGAAACCTATATACACTTTGGGGCATAGGAATGTACAACTTTTTTTTCAGAAGGACCGAAATTTGATTATAATTTGCTTGTTGGATTAAATTCCTGTCCTGCTGTTTTTAAGAAATATTATTGGGTCCCAGTCCGGGGCATTATCCACTGAACTAGTTAGCCACTCTATGAAAGGTACTACGTTGGGTTGGCCTTTCCCCTGGGTACTTTTGTTAGCCAGGGTTCCCCCAGCAACGTTTGACGAGTCGCCGTTCGGCACTCACTTTCTTGAGTAGTTACCACATTTCAAGTAATACAGTTTGTGCCGTTCAACCACGAACCCTATAACTATACCAATGATATTGAAAACCAGATTCCGAGTTCTACTATTAACAGATATGGTCATCAAGCTTCCGGTCTTCTTGTTGGCATGTGGTCTTATGCCCCAAAGCGTCCTCTACAAGATAACATTTTGCCCATACCTTTAAATCACTCAAAAGTGAAATTTGTGTTTAGGTGGCCACGAAACGGCCGATTGGCCCTGCCACAAGGCAAAACCTACGAGCTGTGGAAGACCATGCGGCCGATTATTAGGTTGCACCAATCATACCTGCACCTTACCTTGCCACCAGGAGGAAAACCTAGAAGTATATATTCAGAAAACCTTATTCTATTTTATTCTGAGTTTCTTTTAGGCGGGTGCTAATTGTGAAACGTGCGAAAATCCTTGTACCAAGCCTCGTCCGGAGGGTTGCACGCATTCGTGTCCCAAACCTTGTCACTCTGGGGATTGTCCGCCTTGCAAACAAATGCTCAGAATCAAATGTCATTGCGGTCTTACTCAACCGTACATTTCTTGTAGCGATTGGTTGAACTTGGACAAGAGGGAGCAGCTACAAAGTTGTGGCAATCAGTGTCCAAAAAATGTAAGAATTGTGAAACAATGTAATACAATAATACATTTTATTTTTCTAGTATATTTGTGGTCATCGGTGTAAATCATTTTGCCATTCGGGCGATTGCCCCAATGCGGATTTGTGCAAGAAAAAAACGAAAGTTTCTTGCAAATGCAAGCGTTTCAAGAAAGAGTTCCCATGCGAAATAGTACGTAAAGGCCTGGCAGTTATTGAATGCGACGACTATTGCCTGCGCAAACAAGAAGCAGACATATTAAAGAAACAATTCGAAGACGAGAGGAGACAGAAAGAAGAGGCGATCAAGAATCAGAAAGAGTTGGAGCAATTTGAGAAGAAGTTTAATGGAAAGAAGAAGAATAAAGATAAGAAGATGTATGAGATGGAAGAGGATCGTGGTTTTGTTAGGAGATATTGGGTTTTGTTAATGAGTGGCTTTTTAATTGTTACTGCTGTTGTGGTTTATCAAGCCATTGGTTAAATGTATGAAAGACTAAAAAGGAGGTCATTTTTTGAATAAAATAATTTAAACCGCTGATTTATGATTAATGTCATTTGCCTGGGGAGCAGCTTTCCTAGGAGAACGAGTGTTCTGTCTTTGTTACTTATATTATCATTTGCATATCATTGAGAAAGACGGAGCACTTGTTTTCCTGGGAACAGTGCTCCCCTGTTTCAAGAATAAGGACCCTAAAGGATTCATTTCACTCTAGACTTGTGCTTTATTGTGGAACCCCTACTAAGATTTAACAGCTATTAGCTAGTGATTTGAAGTTTACTTTTAATAATTTTATTTTCATCAGGGTTTTAATATGTAACTGTGTAACTTATGATAATTTAATATAACATTGAAATTATTTTTTATTTATTACCTCAAGTTACTCGCTAATCTTTCTAACTAAAAGCGGCCATAGGCGCAACTAGGTGGGTGCTTGGGGGTGCTAAGCACCCCTAAAGCAAAAATTAGCACTCCCATTATGCATTTCACCATAGCACTACCTACAGTAACACTACCTAAAACTAATATAAAAAATCAGTGCAACTGAATTATTTATTTTTTTTGTACTTTTTGTACTTACTACGTCATCGATGGCGTCATAATTTAGAAATTTTACTATCACTTTTCCGCGATTGTAAACCCACTTTTCCGCAAATATTACCTCATTTTTCCGCGATTCTTGTCTCACTTTTTTTTGCGATGTTATCCTCACTTTTCCGCGATTCCTATTCCATTCTCCGCGATTTTATCCTCACTTTTCGTGACTTTATTCTTATTTTTCCGTGAGTCTCATCTTACTTTTCCGCGAGTTTAAACTCACTTTTTTTTGAAATTTTTGACTCATATTTTTTTTGCGATTTTTGACTCTTTTTTTTTGCGATTTTATCATCACTTTCCGCGATTTTATCCTCATTTTTCCTCATTTCAAAATTACGAGAATAACGATAATTTTTGAAAAGTTACGAAAAATTACGGGAATTACGTTAAAGTACGTAAAATATGAAAAATTATGAGAATTGCAAACATTTACGAGAATTACGGAACATGACGAGAATCACGGAATAACAAAAAATTGCGGGAATTACAAAAATTATGGAAATTGCCAAGTATTACACAAAAAAATTACGAAGTTACTCCAAAATTACGTCAATTATTTAAATATTACTTAATTTATGAAAAGTTACGAAAACTAACAAGAAATTACAAGAAAAAATTTACGGAACCCAGTAAAATGACGGAAATGACGAAAATTTACGGGAATTATGAGAAATTATAAAAATTACGAGAATTGAAAAAAATACGAAAAACTTCGAAAATTACGGGTATTACGAAATATTACGGGAAGGAGTTACAAAGTTATTTCAAAATTACGTGAATTACGGTAATTCCCAAAATAACGGAAATCACAAGTTTTTGTGAAATTACGAAAATTACAATAACTTAGGGAGAATTAGCAAATTCCGAATTTTTTTGGAAATTAGGAAAATTGAAAATTAAAAAATTGAAAATACAAATAATTACTGGAATTACATCACGATAGGAAAAGCACGAAAAATTGCGGGAATAACGAAAATTAACAAGTTTTCCAAAAATTGAAAAAAATAAGGGGGAATTAGAAAATAACAAGAATTATCTGAGAAATGACAGGAATTACAAAATTTCGAAAATTCCCAAAATAAAATACGAAAATTACATGTTTTCGAAATTATCAAAACAACGAAGTTTTCTGAGAAATTACCAGGAATAAAAAAATTACGGAAATCTGAAAACTACAGGAATTATTCAAAAATTATGAAAAATACGAAAAAATCTTGGGAATGAAAAAAAAAATGACAATTTTCAAAAAATTACGAAAATAACAAAAATTACAAAAAGTTACGGGATTCACGAATTTTCCGAAAATTGTAAAAACTAAGGAGGAATTATGAAATTAACGAGATTTTTTTGAGAAATGACGGGAATTTGAGAATTTTCGAACATTCCAAGAAAAAAAAAATACGGAAATTACCAATTTTTGAGAATCACAAGAAACTGGGGGCGAATTATAAAGATAACGGAGTTTTTTGGGAAATTACGGGAATTACAAAATTACGAAAATTTGAGGAACTACAGGAAATATAAAAATGGAAAGAAATAAGAAAAAATCACGAGAACTGCGAAAAAATTACGATAATTTTTGGAAAGTTACGAGATTTATGAAAAAGTTACGGGAATTACGAAAATTACGAGTTTTCCAAGAATTGCAATGACTAAGGAAGAATTATAGAAATAGGGAGAATTATCTGAGAAATTACGGAAATAATGAAAATGCACAAAAAAAAAATTGAAAATTATGGGAATTACGAATTTTTGAAAGTAACAAAAACTTAGGGGGAATTATAAAATAAGTAACTGAATATTTTGAGAAATTACAGAAATTAAAAAATTACGAAAATCTGAGAAACAACAGGAATTATTCAAAAATTACGGGAATTACAGAAAAATTACGATGAATTATGGAAAGTTACGAAAAATTAAGGAACTTACGAAAAAGTTATGGGAATTATGAAAATTACGAGTTTTGCGAAAATTGCAAAAACTAAGGAAAAATTATAAAAATAACGACATTTATTTGAGAAATAACGGCTTTCAACAATTTTTTTTCGCAATTTCACCTTCACTTTTCCGCCATTTCAAAGTCCAAACCCACTTTCTCGCAATTTCAACAAATTTTTCCGCGAATTTTGCCTCACTTTTCCGTTATTCTTGCCTGATTTTTCAATAAGTATAACCTCACTTTTCCGGGATTTTCGCCTCACATTTACGCAATTTCAACCTAATTTTTCCAAAATCTTTACTTTTGTTTTTCGTATTTATAACCTCATTTTTTCTCGATTATAACCTTGCTTTTCCGCCATTTTTACTCAACTTTTTTGCAATTCCATCATTTCCAACCTCATTTTTCTGTAATTTTTACTTCTATTTTTCGTAATTCGAACGTCACTTTCCTGCGATTCTGACACTCACTTTTTCGCAATTTTTGAAAAGTTACGGAAAATTGCAGGAATTAACGAAAAATTACTGGAATTATAAAAATAAAGAAAATTACAAAAATTACAAAAATTATAGGAATTACGAAAATCACGAATTATTGAAATTATGAAAATTACAAAACTTGGGGGGGAATTTAAAAATAACGGGAATTGAAAAAAATACGAAAAACTTCGAAAATTACGGGTATTACGAAATATTACGGGAAAGAGTTACAAAGTTATTTCAAAATTACGTGAATTACGGTAATTCCCAAAATAACGGAAATCACAAGTTTTTGTGAAATTACGAAAATTACAATAACTTAGGGAGAATTAGCAAATTCCGAATTTTTTTGGAAATTAGGAAAATTAAAAATTAAAAAATTGAAAATACAAATAATTACTGGAATTACATCACGATAGGAAAAGCACGAAAAATTGCGGGAATAACGAAAATTAACAAGTTTTCCAAAAATTGAAAAAAATAAGGGGGAATTAGAAAATAACAAGAATTATCTGAGAAATGACAGGAATTACAAAATTTCGAAAATTCCCAAAATAAAATACGAAAATTACATGTTTACGAAATTATCAAAACAACGAAGTTTTCTGAGAAATTACCAGGAATAAAAAAATTACGGAAATCTGAAAACTACAGGAATTATTCAAAAATTATGAAAAATACGAAAAAATCTCGGGAATGAAAAAAAAATTGACAATTTTCAAAAAATTACGAAAATTACAAAAAGTTACGGGATTCACGAATTTTCCGAAAATTGTAAAAACTAAGGAGGAATTATGAAATTAACGAGATTTTTTTGAGAAATGACTGGAATTTGAGAATTTTCGAACATTCCAAGAAAAAAAAAATACGGGAATTACCAATTTTTGAGAATCACAAGAAACTGGGGGCGAATTATAAAGATAACGGAGTTTTTTGAGAAATTACGGGAATTACAAAATTACGAAAATTTGAGGAACTACAGGAAATATAAAAATGGAAAGAAATAAGAAAAAATCACGAGAACTGCGAAAAAATTACGATAATTTTTGGAAAGTTACGAGATTTATGAAAAAGTTACGGGAATTACGAAAATTACGAGTTTTCCAAGAATTGCAATGACTAAGGAAGAATTATAGAAATAGGGAGAATTATCTGAGAAATTACGGAAATAATGAAAATGCACAAAAAAAAAAAATTGAAAATTACGAGAATTACGAATTTTTGAAAGTAACAAAAACTTAGGGGGAATTATAAAATAAGTAACTGAATATTTTGAGAAATTACAGAAATTAAAAAATTACGAAAATCTGAGAAACAACAGGAATTATTCAAAAATTACGGGAATTACAGAAAAATTATGATGAATTTTGGAAAGTTACGAAAAATTAAGGAACTTACGAAAAAGTTATGGGAATTACGAAAATTACGAGTTTTGCGAAAATTGCAAAAACTAAGGAAAAATTATAAAAATAACGACATTTATTTGAGAAATAACGGCTTTCAACAATTTTTTTTCGCAATTTCACCTTCACTTTTCCGCAATTTCAAAGTCCAAACTCACTTTCTCGCAATTTCAACAAATTTTTCCGCGAATTTTGCCTCACTTTTCCGTTATTCTTGCCTGATTTTTCAATAAGTATAACCTCACTTTTCCGGGATTTTCGCCTCACATTTCCGTAATTTCAACCTAATTTTTCCAAAATCTTTACTTTTGTTTTTCGTATTTATAACCTCATTTTTTCTCGATTATAACCTTGCTTTTCCGCCATTTTTACTCAACTTTTTTGCAATTCCAACATTTCCAACCTCATTTTTCTGTAATTTTTACTTCTATTTTTCGTAATTCGAACGTCACTTTCCTGCGATTCTGACACTCACTTTTTCGCAATTTTTGAAAAGTTACGGAAAATTGCAGGAATTAACGAAAAATTACTGGATTTATAAAAATAAAGAAAATTACAAAAATTACAAAAATTATAGGAATTACGAAAATCACGAATTTTTGAAATTATGAAAATTACAAAACTTGGGGGGGAATTTAAAAATAACGAAGTTTTTTAAAAAATTAGGAGAATTAAAAATGGGTACAAAAAATTACGGGAATTACGAAAAAATTATGATTTTTGAAGTTATGGGAAAATTACGAAAAAGTTACGGGTGAATTACGAAAATTATGAGTTTTTCGAAAATGCAAAAACTAAGGAAAAATTGATTTTTTTTAAGCAAAATTCATTTTCTTACATTTTATTTTTTTTCTAGAAAACTGGCGAACGGATAAGTGTGAAAATTTTCCAGAACAAAGAGGAAAGTGAGGATCTCATTAAAGCAAAATTTCAAAATTTTCCAGTGAAAAATCACTTCAGGAAAAATTCTGGAAAATTGACTTATTTAAGCAAAATTAAAAAAAATTCATCCTCTCACATTTCAATTTATTTCTGGAAAACTAATAAAGCAAAACTTGTGAAATTTTTCCAGGAGAAAAAAGAAAATGAGGAGCTCATTATATGAAAATTTCAAAATTTTTCAGTTTTCCAGAAAAAAGAAGAAAGTGAGGATCTCATTAAAGCAAAATTTCAAAATTTTTCATTTAAAATTACTCAGGAAAAATTGTGGAAAGTTGACTTATTTAAGCAAAATTGAGGAAAATTCATTCTCTTACATTTTAATTTTTTTCTGGAAAACTAGCAGAGGGAAAATTTTGAAGATTTTCCAGTGAAAAATCACTCTAGGAGAAATTTTATTTATATATTTTCGGATAACTGAATAAACTCTCTTCTAAGTTAAAAAATGTATTACAAAACAATAATTCTGAAGGTGCTCCATGAATTAATCTATGACATAACTTTTTCTCTAAGTTATGACGTTATCGATGACGTAAGTAAAAACCTGCGTGCCGTGCAACGAACTATATGTTTGTTCGAAACTTCAGACATAAAAAAAAACTATTTTTTTAAAAAAAAGGCAAATGATGACGTAAGTACAAACCCGTGAAACTAACCTTTTACGCGTCTCATTTTCTTTCCATCAAACTCCAAAAAAAAAAGCCTAGTTGCGCTTATGAAAGCGGCTAAAGATTTCAAAATAAAACAAACAAAATTACTGCCAAATCAAATTCTGTATTTCACCGACAGTCACAAATGACACTTTAACAAGGACAACACATGGGCGGAGGACAACACATGGGCGGCGGACAACACGGAGGCGGTGGACAACATGGCGCAGGATAACACATGGGCGGCGGACAAGGACAGCACTGCGGTTGAATGGGCGGACAACAGGCCACCGGCGGCGGACATGGTATAGGCATCGGTACTGCCGGACAAATCGGTACCACACGTCCGACTGGAACGCACGGCGGCGGTGCCGGAGTTATCGGCGGCGGACACGGAGCTTGAGCGATCAGAGGCACGCATGGAGGCGGACAACAAGGGACACATGGACCGCAAGGTCCACAAGGGCCACATGGACCGCAAGGGCCACACGGACCACATGGACCGCAAGGTCCACATGGACCACAAGGTGGACAAGGGCCACATGAAGGCTGTCCATTGCCATTGCAAGGTGCGCAAGAAGGCAATCGAACATAAGCCGGGTAACACTGGTACTGTTCCAGTTCTTTTTTGTTGGTACCGTAGCCGGGTCGTTTGCCTAAATGTTTGCAATTTGCAAACTCGGACGGGCCGCAAGTGGGCGGTTCTGTGAGGCAAGGCGGCGAGCCGTGACATTCCATTCTCTGGCAGTCGTCTTGCAACCCTATAGCAAACAAATTTGAATCGGAAAATACAAATCTGTGAATCTTACCGTTATGTTTCTCGCAATCACATCCCACATGCAAAATGCTCGCCCTCAATTCGCGACTTTTACTACGAGGTCCGTTGTTTCCTTTGGTTTGAGGTCTTCTGTAGCAGACCATCATCTGAGGAGGATTGCACGGGACGCAAGGCTGGTCTTCGGGGTTGGGGTTGCATAGTGGTACGCAAGGCGGCGGTACCGGGGTGCATACAGGTAAAATGGGCGGTACGCAAATAGGTTGCGGCGGCGGTGCCGTTATGGGTACTGAAGCGTTCGGCGGAGGACATGTACCTGTATGAAGAGATAATAAATACAGTACCAGTATCGTAAGAAACTGTAGATCAGTTTGAATCTGTGTATTTTACCAAATCAGCTAAAAATATTAGAATTCAAACTGATAGTTTTACCTGGTGTGCATTGTGGCGGACAACATATAGGTGGCGGACAACACATAGGAGGTGGACAACATGTAGGTGGCGGACAACATGCAGGTGGTGGACAACAAATAGGTGGCGGACAACATGCAGGTGGTGGACAGCAAACGGCAGGTGGACAAGCGGGACTGCAAATAGGTAAACAAGCTTTCGGTAAGGGATCGTAAATTTCAATGACGGGGCCATTGCAACTGTTTACTGACGGTCCTGGGGGGCAGCAGGCGGGCGGCGGACAGCAAACGGGCGGCGGACAGCAAGGGTCTCCGCATTGCAGTTGGGACATGAGGCATTTGAGGTCGTTGAGCAGGTTTTGCCGCTTCTGGCTTTTTTCGGGGCAAACGAACGCCATGGTTTGATTTTTTCACGTGGTAATTTGGATTTCGTGGACGAAAACGACTTGAATTTCGATTTGGGGGATCAAAAATACGGGCGAGATAAATTTGACGGTAATTTTGACTTTCAAAAATGAATTTTAAATTGTTTTCTGGGTCGACATGGTTACTGCCGGTTGTACAGTGATTATCAAAAATAATATTATCGGCTCACTCCTTTTAAATAATTTCCTAATTTGCATTTGAGATCATTTCGAGCTCTTTTCTGCATTTGGTATACAGCTTTTCTTGTTGACCTTGTGCTGCTCTTTCCAAGTTTCTTTAAGTTTTTTGTTTACCTGTTTTTCTCTTCCAGACCCTTGATTTTTCCTTTTTTTTTTGCTATCCGACTGCCGCTAATTATTTTCCACGCGGTTTTTCCACAACTAATCTAGATTTAAATTTTTCCTATTCTCGGGTTTTTTAAAGTCTCATAAAATTGAACTTCCCCAATTTAAATTTTAGATAATTCGAGTCCTTATTTAGTGAGCACATTATAGACTTTCCAGAAGTGTAATTAGTGTGTAAATTGACTGTTTTAGGACTTGCTTGAAGGGCTTGGCAACAGTTTCAGATCTAAATTCTAATAAAATGTATTTTCATGCAAGTTTCCAGGTCGATGTTTAGGGCTGGTATCTCTAGATCTCCAAAAGCGTTGGGAACGATCCCTAGATGGATAGATCGAGGACATTCTTAGTCTACAATCCCATTGCATATGTCCAAGCTTATAGCACCGGTAACATTTTACTCGGTTTCTCAGTGTTGGTGTTTATTTGTAGTCGTTTCTCATTTGTCTAACTTCTAGTACTAGTTTCTTCATTTTCTTCATGAACTTACTCATAAGATTCTCAAAGCTACCATCTTCTTTCGACGATTGTTTATCCTTTGCGTCTTCAATGGACACTGCTCGTATTTTAGGTCGTGAGGCACCCAAGATTACTTCCAGTTCTCTTGCTCGAACAAGGGCTTCGCTATTTTTCCTGAACTTGGACATTTTTAGGTTTTCCTGGATCTTGGAATCTCTGAGACCATCAATAAACGCAAATACTGCCATCCATATTCCTGCGTGTCTTCGCTAGCTGCAAGAAACGCCAAACTCACTAGCCTTTTTAACTTCCAATTCGAATTCTTGTAAATTCTCGCCAGATTTTTGAATTCTTGATTTATCTTGAATGCTAAATACTTCTTGTCTGTAATGGTATCCGAAGCGTAATTCTAACGTCTGACTTAAATGCTGGTAATTCTGTTGGTAGATTGAAGGAATGAACTAAAGAAGATCTAAGGCAGGTCTTCGTAGCGCCACTATCAGTGCTGTTGCTTTTTCTTGATCATTCCAAAATGTGTTGGTATTTGCAGCAGCTTCAAATTGTCGGATATACATGGTCCAGGATGTAGAACCGTCAAAAGTTGGTGGTTTTATCTTCATACTAGAGAATATGCTCCAACACTACCTGGATTGATGGACTGTATTTCTAATTTATTCACCTTATCTTAAAGTGTTCAAACTTGGCTCTCAAATTCTTGTTTTTATTGCTGAACATCATTTTTAACTTCTTGAACATTGTCTCTAACTAAGTTCTTGAACATCTTCCTTAAATTCGGCTTTAACTTTCCTAATCTTTTGAATGAACTTAAGGACCTAGAGCGTCAAGGTGTCATTAAAAAAAAAAGATAAACCGATTGAGTGGTTGACTCCTCTAGTCATTGTTGAAAAGAAAAATAAAGATTTGAGTCTTTGTCTTGATTCAAAATTTTTGAATCAATCTATAAAACGTTAAAACGTGAAATATTTTTGATTCCTACAGCTGAAGAAATTGGTTCTAAGCTGTGTGACAAGGAATATTTCACAGTCCTAGACATGAAAGACGGGCACTTTCAGATTTGTATTGACGATGGAAGTCAAAATTATTGTGTTTTTGGTACACTGTTTGGTAGATATGCATTTTGTCGTTTACTATTTGGCATATCTTCTGCGCCAGAGGTCTTTCAAAAACAGAACTATGAAATATTTGGTGACCTTATTATCACAGGATTAAGCGAAGCGGAACACGATCACGATCTTTGGTATTAGAACGGGCTAAATAAATTTAATGTCAAATTCTAATAAAAGTAGAATTCAATTTAAAAAACAGTGTAAACAAGAGTGGTTGCGACAACTTCCATAAGGGGCAGGGGTAGTTTCCGGAAGGATGTTGCAGTAAGTAGATATATTTTTGGAAAACTTATTTAGTGTGCTACTGACCTATGTGAAACAAAAAGCAAAAAAAAAAACAAATTTACCCCCTTAATATCTTTTTTCTGTCTAGAAAAATACTTTTGGTGTCTATGTATATACAGGATGCTCCTAAATATCATGTACAAACGGAAAGGGGTGATTCTTTGGTTTATTTTATGAATAAAATCTCTAATAAACATAGATCTGCAAACGCTTCATTCTCGATCTACAGGGTGCTGAAACTTTGATGTATTCATATTGAAAATGAGCAAGAATATGGTGGCGAAAGCGTGTCTTACTTCAGATTCCTATTGAAAATGGGCAAGAATATGGCGGCGGGACCTCTATTGTCACCACTTTAGGTAGAAAGGCTTTATTGAGTCACTGTAGTTTCATCTAGCTAATTAGGACAGTGATTTATTTTTTAATTTTTTTCTTGATAAGGTTCGTTGATACGACAAAACTACAAGAGAACAATAAGTTTCTAAATAAGGTAAAAAAATTATTTTGCTTCTTAGAATTGACCAGCGGCGCACCGCGAAAAAGTTCAGGGATAGAAAAGGGGACATATATGACACCTGAAAATAATAAACCAAAGAATCATCCCCTTTCGTTTGTACATGATATTTAGGAACACCCTGTATGTCCGAGGTGTGCACAAAATAATATTTGAACCATTCACATGGAGGGCATTGTGTGCGAGAAAGTGCAAAAAAAGACATTTTTTTTCAAATGTTATTTTTTTTGGGGTGGTTCCGGTTCCAGATAGAAAATAGGGGTGCATTATTCGAATTTTTCCTACTTCATACATTCATTCATTCCTACATCAATAATCCCTGGAAATTTGAACAGCCTAGCATTAGCCCTTCAGATGATATGAAAGGGGGTTAATTGTTTCAATTTCAACACTCTGTATACCTATTTAAAAAGGGTGAATGTTTTCAAATAAAACTTTTACCAAAAAATCGGTCAATTATTTATGAGTATTTGCTGTATGGTTTCTGGTGGATTCGTTTTCCATTTTCCATTTTCAGCCGTTTTCTATCCTTAGGATATAGGCCTCTTCCAAATTTGACCATTGTATTCGGATTCGCTTCACTGTTTAGTAAAAAAAGAATCATTTCCAAAACATATTTTTTCAAAGTCGTTCAACTTTAGAGCCCCACCCAAACTAAAGGGTAGGTGATAGACATATGCTGTCACTGAATAAATTGTAGAGAATTTTGTCCTCTTTAATTTACTATGAAGGTATTTTTTTTGTAAAACGTAGCGGAAGCGTTACGTTTCGAAAAAAACACAAAAAACGACCTTAAGAGGGGAGAAATTTTGTTGGAAAAAGTTAGAACCATAATAAGCAACCCTTATTCTACCAGAAAGAAAAATACAATAGAACTTGTGTCGAGTTTCCGAGGTTCAACCTCTCTTTCCTGGCCTAAGGTATTATATTTGTGATTTTGGCAGTATAATGACATATGTTATTCCTCCAGGGATTAATGACGAGTAGCGGGATTAATGGTCATTATTCCACAAAAGTGTCAGTGTCAAACGTGTAGTGCTTGTGGATTTGTATTGAAAATTATGAGACGGATGAAATTTGTTCATTGAAAATCTCAAATAAATTAATTTGTCGTAAATAAAGTAGAGTATACTACTCGCAATAATGGCTATTATTCCCTCGGAATGTTACTCCCTCGCCGCTAACGCGGCTCAGTTCGTAATAATCCTCGGGAATAATAGCTATCATTATTGACTCATGGTATAATCTACTATTATTGATGCCAGATACAAAAATAGTATTTACATAAGTCAAAAAGTAGAGTTCTACATATTAAAAAAATACGCCTACAAAAAGGTGTACTTATATGAAACAACAAAGGAGACAATTAAAAAATAGAACTACAAAATGTTTACAAACATACATTACATTCAAGTCACATTAAAATTTTAAAAAATAAAATAAAACATATATGATTATAAATTACAAATTACTAAAAATGATATCACAGTCAAGGAACTCCTGGATGCTATAAAAAGCTTGTTTAACAAGAAATGATTTAACCCTAGATTTAAGACATTTCAATGGCAAAGCTCTTATGTCACTGAGTAAACTATTGAAAATCATAACTGCTAGAAATTCAGGGCGATTCTGACACCTTCCCAGATGACACTGAGTCGGAATCAGGTCATTACGATTTCTTGTTTGATGGTCATGAAGGTCGGAGTGGGATATGAAGTCCGCCTCGTTCATCTTTACATAGACAATAGACTCGAGAACAAATACTGACGGGAAAGTCTGAATCCCTTCATTACCGAAAGCCAGCCTGCAGTCATCCCTATACCCCAATCCAGCAAGCACCCTTACAGCTTTACGCTGAAGTCCGAAAACTCTAGTAGCGAAAGGCGGACTGCCCCAAGAAATAATGCCATATGATCAGTGAATGAAACAGCGCGTAGTAGGCAGTCTTGTGTCTTGTGGGTCTGTTTCGACACACAGCCATAAAGGTTACGAAGCAGAAAGACAATAGTACTCAGCCTACCCGACACCCTGTCAATCTGGACATCCCATCTAAACTTAGGATCCAGATAGATTCCCAAAAATTTCACCTCAGTTGAATTTGAACTGTTACTTGTATCCCTCAGCGAAAATATCATCTTATGGGTCTTGCTCCGATTCAGCATAGGTCTGTTAGCATTGAACTAATCTTCAGCCCTCGACTGAGCCACCACAGCCCCCTCCTCAACATCCTCCAATCTGCCGCCTCCTAGGTGGTGTCATCAGCAAAAAGGGTGTATCTGATCGCACCCTCGGTGGGTGGTGAATCATTTAGAAAAATGAGAAAAAGGGCAGGGCCCAAAACAGAACCCTGTGGCACTTCCACATCAATCTCCTAATCTCCCTTTCCGCTGACGACACTGAGCCGAACCTCACAATCTGGCTACGACCGGAAAGATAAGATTTAATTAGTCTTACGCTATTATCAGTAAAGTTGTAGTACCTAAGTTTGTCAAGAATTAGACTGTGGGTGACACAGTCAAAAGGCCTTGCTCAGATCACAGAACAAGCCCAGACCATGGTTACGATCCTCGAAAGCTCTCTTAAATACTTTTGGAAACACACATTCTCTAAAGCAGAGATTAATCAACTTTGTCAACGGCACAAGTACAACGTTTTCATCTGTTTCCAATAAGCGATCAGACAGGCCATATATAATTACATTTTTTGTTGTTCAAATTATCAATTATGTTCCTCACAAAGTTAAAAGATACCTCCTCAAAGCAAAACTCAATGTCTTCATGAGCATGTATATTATTAAGAAAATTCAGTGAAAGTAGTCGTTGAATGTCTTGGGGTTAATTTTGCTGTTAGGTTTGCTTTGTTTTTTTGTCCCTCGATTGCTGTTAATAATATTCCACATGCACTTTGAAGGTTTTTTTGCTGACTGTATCAGGGGCGCCGACTACGTGGGTGCTCGGGGGCTCGAGCACCCACGAGACCTGAACAGTGGGTGCGAAGCACCCACAAGCATAGACTTAAAAACTGATAATCCTGGTTAATTTTGTACCTCGGGTTCCTAAAATCTGGTTAACCAAATGTCAAAATAGTTACCGGCCATCGGATGTCGGTTCTGTTGGTTTTATCAAGGTTTTATCTGTAACTTCTGTCAATTATGTTTTATTTCCATATTTGCGTTCCCCAAAGTAACCGGAATTTTTAGTAAACATTTGTTGACCGATTCAGTTACTTTAGCTCTGTTCCAGCAGACATGAAAACCTTTCTGGAACGGTAATTTCCAGTCGATCAATCCATTTGTCAATTAGGAAAAACGTTCAACTTATTGAAAAAAAGGTGGGCAACTAGAAATTATTGGTTTTGGAACGGTTCTCATGACTGTTGGAACAGAGCTAATGGTTAACGTTTGGTTATATTTGGACCATAGCCTTATATAGGTTATGTTCCGATATTAACTCTGTCAGTACTGAATTTACTGGACGCCGTTCCGATATTATTTTCAGTAGGTACACTGGATTCAGTCGATTCAGTACTGAATGACCACAAGGGTACCCTGTTGAAATTGGAACGGCAAATGACAGTAAAATCAGGTACTTTGTTTAGAAAAAGAAGAAGATGAAGAAAATCAGAAATCTTTTATGAAGAACAGCGTAAAACGCAGATTTTCGGTACATGCTGCTTGGAAAAGAATATCTGCAGGAGAGTTTTCCACACTTTACAGTAGAGTGTTTTCACAGCTATCAGACTAATACCCACCTCTACCACGTAAAAACTCCCCTCCAGCAGCACAGCCATCATACCACTAAAGTTCGCCTTACGAGTCTAACACTATGGAAAGAATGCGGATAAAAAATTGCAATATTGCCTATTTGACTTCCAATAAGAAATACCTTAATATTTATTTATATTATACACCTACATTTATAAGGAAATCGTAATATACAAAAACGTTGCACGCTCGTCTATGACAGGCAGCATAAAGCTCGAAATGAATGGCGGTATGTCCCCTTGCTCTTCAGATGTCGTAGTGCTAGACTCGTAAGGCGGACTTTACCCACCTCCACTGTACCCCCTTCCGTGAAGCTCCTACCCTGAGGAGGCACTTTTTACCCACCTGCACTGTAAACACTCTTCCGTAAAGTCCTCCATTAATCTATTCTCAAAAGGCTCTTGCCCTGAGATGGCACTTTATTATATCCCTTCACTTTCTTGAAAACTAAAGAATATTTAATCAATTCTTCCATTTGTATTCGAATTCGTCAATTTTGGGGTTGGCCCGGGTCAAATCCCCAAAATTTCAGATCAAAAGCGCCTCCGATCTAGAGATTTTCCCACGGTATCGAAAAACTTCCCAGGCTCAAGTGCCCCCGGCTATCAGACCAATACCCACCTCTACTACGTAAGTGGTCCACTAGATTCACAAGCAAAATGTTATTATTGCAATAAAATTAATCTCATGGAGTTTAGAACACTATTGACGTATACAAATGCAGGAATTGTTGAAATATTCTTTGGCTTTCAAGAAAGTGAAGGGATATGGAAAGAGGTACCTCTTCAGAGTAGAAGCTTTTTGACGTAGTGGAGGTGGGTATTGCTCTGATAGCTGTGAGGTGGGTATTGGTCATAAACAGGTGCATTAATTTTATTGCAATAATAAATATTTTGCTTGTGAATCTGCTAGTCTGATAGCTGGGGGCACTTGAGCCTAGGAAGTTTTTCGATACCGTGGGAAAATTTCTAGATCGGTGGCGCCTTTTGAAAATAGATTAATGGTGGGCTATGATGGCTATGCTGGAGGGGGGCTTTTACGTGGTAGAAGTGGGTGTTGTTCTGATAGCTGTGAAAACACTCTACTCTTTACCCTTATAGCCGTCCTTTTTTTCCAATTTTAGCAGACACCGCAAAAAACTTAAAATCTGTTTTTTATTTAAAGATAAAAGTCAAAATGACATTATGTTGGCAATACAATGTAAAATTGTCAATGCTTTCAAATTTTTTCTGTAGAAAAGGCTTGTGTTGCCAACTAGTTACTAAATTTTTGATTTGGGGAATTATCTTTAAAAAAAAAACAGACTTTACATAAGCACCAAGCAACACTAGTTCCCGCAGCTGGAAAACGAATATGGAAAGGTGTGAACTACATTGTTTGAAATTTATTACCATTCCCTTCTTAGACACTCGTCCGAATGTAAATTAAAGAATGCTGGTAAATGTTTTTGGGCGTGGCTTCTGGAGAAGTTTTTTCGCCACCGGCGGGCTGTTCACTCCCCCTCATAAATGCCGGTGCATGAACATCAGCACCCACGAGGTTTTCTGAAACCCGGCGCCCCTGGACTGTATCAATCGATCGTTTGCCGCTCGTTTAGCATCTCTTATAGCCCTCCTATACTCAGGCTTAAAATTTTTGAAAATTTCAAGATTGCCAGGGAGGAGTAATGAATTTTTTAGCTATATCATTCAAAAAAGACAGATGGTCCCTCATTTCTCTCAAAGAGTCAGAGAACCAAAAGATTAGGAGATCTTATGAGGTGCATTAGCCCTTGTGTAATATGTTTTTTTGAGGAAACGACTGAAGGTATGCATCCTCTAGAAATTTTACAAACAGCTAGGCTTTACACTCAACTGAAGCATTATCAGAGCCCGAAACACCCTATGAGGCATTTTCCAACATATTATAGAAAGTCAAAAGTCTCACCTGAGTTATTGGTTGAAAGGTTGAGGACTCACACTTCGAGGAGTTATCAGATAAAACAATATCAAATTCTAATACCTGTCCCTTATGCTCCGACAAACTCATATCAGTACCCCAGAGCTCACAGATTCTGAGTGAAAATTCATGAATACCTATGTTATCGAGGAGTTCCCCCTTGTGTTTGCCATAATCATGCGCCTGAAGCCAAAGGTCGCAAGTAGATGACACAACTCAGAAGCCTCCTTGGAAGCTGCATTATGCTATTATCAGGGTTCCCATAAAGGTTTTTCGGAATCCAGGTCCTAGGGAGTCAAGAAATCCGGACAAAATCCGGACTTCGCCGATAAATTTTTTATAAAGAATGAATTTTGTTTATTTTTTGCAAAATAGTTATTTGTTTTACTAGGCAGAAAAGTACAAGATTTATTGCCGTGGCTGGTGTTTTATAGCCGAGGCTAGGAAACCAGCCGAGGCATTAAATCTGCTTTTTTGCCATGTAAAACATATAATTTTTTCTCCGAATGTTCAAATTCACACATGGACGTCTTTTTTTATATTTATTTCAATTTCATTCATTATTATTATCCAAATAATTAAATTAATTTGACAATTGTCATTTTCACCATCAATTTCAAATACCAAATTGAGTGAAATTATTACCTGGAAAGTTGTGATACTGTCACTTTTAATACCTAGACAGTAAAAGTCCACTTTTACTGCCTAGGCAGTAAAAATACAACTTTTGATCCTGTGAAGTGTCATTAAAAGGCCGCTTTTACTGTCATTCGGAGAATTTTTTTTTTTTTACAGAAATTAATAGATATGGTTTGAGCATTTTTTCCGTTAGACTGAAGACACAATGACAAATACAAAGGTATCATGACAAGAGACAAAAATATTATAACACTCGTGTATCAAAATCAAGGATGATACACACTACTACTACAGGATGGCCTATCTCCATAAGGCTTGTGTGTAACAAATCCCCCCTACCTTTCCACGCCAAACAACTAGTTGTGACGTAAGCAGCATGGCGTTTCTCGCCTTGACGTAGGCTGTTTAAACAGCTGACGACTTAGATATGACGCCGGCAATGGTTAAAAACAGTTGAAAACCAATATGACAGCGATTACCAAAAACGAGGCCGATTATCACTCCTTAGAGTGTGTATTCTCCTTGTATCAAAATGGCGACCGAATAAATGGATACAGGATACAATTTACTTGCCACCCCAGAATACAAAATTAAAATTTCGAATTTTTGGTAGGTATCTCCCAAGGAGAATACACACTCTTAAGGAGTGCTTATCGGACTAGTTTTTGGTAATGGCCGCCATATTGGTGTGAAACCATTTCCGACGTCATCAGCTGTTTAAAAAGCTTACGTCAAGGCGAGAAATAACATGCTACCTACGTCACAACTGGTATTTGGGCGAGGGAGGACTGTTACACAGGCCTTATGAGGATAGACCATCCTGTAGTAGTAGTGTGTGTTATCCTTGGGTATCTCCGAGTTTTCCGGACATTGTTCCGAATTCCGGCCGGACTTCCCCATACACCCTAAAAACCCAAACATGTCCGGGTAAATCCGGACGTATGGAAACCCTACTAATTATGCACTGTGGCAAAATGCCCTAAGAGGCACATAAATAAAACTAGTAAACCAAGGTTAAAACATTTATTAATATAATTAATAATTTTTTTTAGAGTATAATAAGATATATACTTCCACCATAATTCATGCATAAAAATACATTAGTGATTAATGTAATCAATATAAAAATATAGGACGTAAACTATAAACACATGTGCAACATGATATTTAAAAATACAAACAACAAAAAATGACTGCGGCAGCAAACATAGGATTACAATAACAGGAAGCTCTTTTTCCTTACAATTTTTCAGGAAAACGATCCACATTTTCAAAAAAAAAAAAATACACAGCCTAAGAAAGTATTGCAAATAATTTTTAGATATAAAGCCGTAGTTCTGAAATCAAATTTGTGTAAAATGCAAAGGCACTTTTCAATAACTAAAAGCAAAGCCAATTTGTTCGTTGGATGTTGGAAATTTTAACCCGGGAGTACACGCGTATGTCGGTCAAAAAGATGAACATTGATAAAATCAGTCATTACGCCATTGGACTAGGAATTATAGTGCTTAATTTATATGAATGTTTTTTTATGCGTGTAATGCCGGGTTAAAGAGCCACACTTGTTTAAACTCAAAATTACAAAATTAATCATTTCAGAACTACATAATTAAACACTCTAGGAATTCAAACACAGTGTCCCAAAATGCAATAATACAATAAATAAAGCACAATATAAATAATTTATATAGGAGAAAAAAGCAATTTTTTTTTAAAATTTTCTTTTAGCTTAACCTACTTCTAAATATTACACGATCTTCAATGTAAAAAGTTTGAATAACAAAAAAATTGTATAAAATATAGTGGTGATTTTTGGCTCACTGTAAAAAACAATTTGCAATGAGCCAAAAATCAACCAATCAATAATAATTAATAAAAAGCAGAATAATTTATGTATATAGGTATAAATAATTTTAAATAAATATATTATCAACCACTTGAGTGGTCTATTTTTTTTTTCATTAAAATTTATTTAGTCAAAGTTGCATTTTCAAACAAATGCTCACGTTGAAACAAAAATATATATCAACTTTACAAACATTGATATACCCGATCACACACAGTATGATTTATTTATTTAGTTTACATAAAAAGAGATGACGTTTTCAAGTTGCCCTTTTGTTCTCTTGAAGTGGTTTCGAGAGGGAAAAAAAATTTGTATCTATATAAATATAAGTAATTTTTTTCTCTCCCTTGCACACACAGTCCCATAAAACTGGAATAACTTCTTGCCAAATTCATTAAAATTGAAAATTCTCATCGGTTGGTACTTATTATGAATAAGGATCGACCAACCACCTTGTTTTTGCTAAATTATCATAGTCTAATTTTCGTTTTGATCACTAGCCTACTAATTTACTTTGGTGAATCTTCACCGCTCCACTCTTCTAGTTCTTCTTGAAGACGTAGCTCCAATTCGCGCATGTCTTTTGCAATGTCCTGCTCATAAGTATCATCCTCTGGTGTTTTTGTGGGCAACTTACCGTTGTTGTTGTTGTTAATGTGCGAACGATTCGCTTGGGTCAGCGAATGGACAATTTTGTTCTATAAAAAATAATAAAATAATTTGTTCACCTTAGTTATATTATAAAACCCTATGTTATTATTATACAAATAATTCTTTTCAATGTTAAATATAAACATTCACATAATATAAAGCTGCTGAGTAAGGGATAATCAGTCTGGAAAAGTACCGTCATATCAAGGTTTTGCCTACATGAATGCTAGCGTCAGCAGTATTTTGTTATAAATACGACGCGCAAAGCATTCTCTCATCATTCTTTTGTATTGTAGCTTAGACTATAGCAATTTAGAATCAAAGATTCTTTTGTTCTCTGCTTTTGCCACAGCAATTTAGAGTTTAGTATTTTTTGTTGTAACTTAGTTTTTAATAAAATAGTTTCTAAAAATTTATTTTTTTACTGAACGAAATACATATATAATGGTTAGCCTTTATAACTCAAAACATTAAGTACTTACCAAACAAGCTTCTTTTTGCTTCTCCTGTATACCTTGCTCAATGACATGAAGTTGCTGAGTTAGCCTCTCACTGTCACTCAAATTTGTCACCCCCTGAGTGGCCAGCTTCAAATTATTGAGTTGTTTCTCGATGCTGCGCAACTGAATCTGCACCCGTTGCGATTCAGCAAACAATTCCTTGGCCGAAGGATCTTGCAACCTTTGAAAAATGACCTGAGGAGATCCATAAGTGAGGTAACCTTCTGTTGTAGTAGGAACCATGATGGGAGGCATCGTGCCTTGATGGAAATGGTTGTTGTTGTTGAAAAACCACGAGGTTACTGGACTCCCTGAGGATACTGGTCTTCTGTCCCTAAAAGCTGGACCTTGGTTGGTGTCTTTGGGCATTCTCGAAATCGGACCGAATTTGCTGATTGCTGGCGCGTCATAAGGGACGTAGTCATCGTCGGCCGCTAATATAGAATCAGATCGTACGAATGTGGGGCCTGAATTGATTTGTCCTGTCCAAAAGTTGTAGGGGGATGTGGGACTGTCCAGGTCGTGCTGGGACTCTTGCCTGGCCATAGTGGTGGCGTTGTTTGAAATTTCGGTGGCGGCATTTTTGCCTACCACCTTTTCCAGTTGCGAAATTACTTCTCTTTTGAGTTGGTGCAGTTCGGCCAGGCTTTTCATTTTGGAGACCGGTTTTTGAGGCGCGTAGTTTTGGTGATGTTTGAGAACCTGGAATAATAATTGGAACATTTAGCCAAGTCAACCAGGTTGGCTAAAACCCGGGTTTTTGAAAATTTGTATTCGGTTTTTGTAAAGCTTTTGTGTTTTGGCCTTCCACATAACGTCAAACTCAAAACTCCACTCAAAATTGCATATTGTATTATGTGTAATCAGACTTGAGGAACCGCTTAAAGCTCCAGAGTTCAGAAAAAAGTAGAAAAACTTCTTAACATGAGTAAAAATGTAAAAAAGAAAATTTTCAATGTGTAGACTTAAGTTCGCAGCATGTGGGAAACTTTTTTATTATTAATTTTACGGAAAAAAGTTATTCTTTATAAAAGTTTCTGCTTCTTGAAAAAATAATACTAAACTATCAAAACTTAAAATAGCATTTACAGGGTGATTAAAAAATCGAAATATAGGTATACAAGGTGTTTCCTAAGTATGGTTTGTAACTTCAGGATGTAATTCCTTACAATATTTTAAGAAAAAAGTTCCTATAAACATGTGTCCGGAAATGCGTAGTTTCTGAAATACAGGGTGTCAAAGTTTTAGAAAAAAATCGTTTTTTTTAGCTCAAAAATCCCTTTTCCATTTTTTTTTTTTTCAAATTTGGCAGGTTTGTTTGTGATAACAAAAGGTATCTTTTGACTGTAATATAACTTGCTTATGGCCGGTATTATAAACCTGCAAATTGATAGAATTCAACCGAAGGTTGAAACTCAACCATCGGTTCAGTGTTTTATAATACCGGCCCTTAATCTGAAAAAAGTATTAAAGGTTGAAAAAAATAGTGACGTGTCATTTTTTTTCTACTTTTACCATAATACGCTGTATATTTTTCTATTTTCTGACCACCCTGTACAGGGTATTTGATTATATTTGGACCCATACCTACAGCCTTTACTATTTAAGATAGAAAAAAATTTTAAATACAAAACTTGACAGTTTTTTTTCTATATTTTCTTTTAACGTTATCAGAAAAAACAAAATCGCATCGGAAAATGCAGAAACATAGGCAACTTAAGACTTTTTTAAATGGAACACCCTGTATATTATGCGATAAAATGAAAGATCTTTTTTTCCTGATTCCAAATATACAGGGTGGGGCACGAAAAACTTTCCACCCAGAGTTTCTCAGATGTTAGGTGTTTAATCAAAAATCGCTTAGACACGTCAATTTTTGTTTTTTGGGGAACAGATTTTATTGGTATTTTCACCCTCTACCTGTCAACTCCTAAGTGGGGGTAACAGGTATCCCCAAAATTTCAAATAGAAAGAGGGGTCGAGTGATATGTCATTTGGTGCCTAGCTTTTTCATTAAGATTATATCCCCAAAGTTTCAAGTTGCTAGTGTTTACCGGGTTGAAATGGTGGCATGTCAAAGTTAGGATAAATGCTTTTTTTCGATAATCTAAACTGTATAGTTTTTACCTGTCACACATATGCGTAGGTAACAGGTAAAAACCACACAGCATTTTTCTATTGATTTTTCCTAACTTTGACAAGCCACCATTTCGACAGGGTAAATAGTAGCAACTTAAAACTTGGGGGATATAATCTTAATGAAAATAGCTTTCAAATGACGTATCACTCGACCCCCCTTTTCATTTGAAATTTTGGGGGTACCTGTCACCCCCACTTAGGGGTTGACAGGTAGGGGGTGAAAATACCAATAAAATGTGTCCCCCAAAAAACAAAAATTGACGTGTGCGAGCGATTTTTAATTAATTACCTATTACCTAACACCTGAGTGAAAAGTTTTTCGTGCCCCACCCTGTACATATATACAGGGTGTTCCTAAATATCATGTAAAAACGAAAGGGGGCGATTCTTTAGTTTATTTTTTGACTAAAATTTCTAACAAACATAGGTCCGCAAACGCTTCGTTACCTACAGGGTGTTGAAGTTTTAATATTTTTTTAGTTTTTTCTTTATAGCTTTTGCAATTTTTGAGAGATTCAGCTCAAATTCGAAATATAGGTCACGCAATGAGAGCTGGATGATTGCACATGTTAAACGCTTGCCAGAATCTACAGGGTGATGTTTTTTCAGGGGTCATGCACCCTTTTCTGCCCCTGAACTTTTTCGCTGTGCGCAGTGGTCGATTTTAAAAAACAAAATAATTTTTCTACCTTATTTACAAACTTTTTGTTCTCTTGTAGTTTTTTCGTATCACCAACCCTTATCGAGAAAATAATTAAAAAACAAATCTCTGTAATCAGCTAGATAGAACTAAAGTGACTCACTAAACCTTTTCTATCTACAGTGGCAACAATAGAGGTCCCACAGCCATATTCTTGCTCATTTTCAATAGGAATCTAGAAGTGAGACGCCCCCTCGCCGCCATGTTCTTGCTCATTTTCGATATGAATACATTAAAATTTCAAAACCCTGTAGATCGGTAACAAAGCGTTTACAGACATATGTTTATTAGAAATTTTAGTCATAAAATAAACCAAAGAATCACCCCCTTTCGTTTGTACATGATATTTAGGAACACCCTGTATATTGATCACATTTGGATGAGCCACCAAAGAAATTTCAAAAAGATTCAAAAGTCTTGTCATTCTTATGGAATTTCTTTGCAAATTATTTATAATTTAAACTATTTTAAACTAAAATATGTCAAGAACGGCTCACTCAAATGTGATCTATATACATATATTTGGAGTCAGGAAGAAAAAATCTTTCATTTTATTGCAAAATATACAGGGTGTTCCACTAAAAAAAGTCGAAGTTGTCCACGTTTCTCCATTTTCCGATGCGATTTTTTTTTTCTGATAACGTTAAGAGAAACTATAGAAAAAAACTGTCAAGTTTTGTATTTGAAATTTTTTTCTATTCAAATAGTAAAGGCTGTAGGTATGGGTCCAAATATAATCAACATTACATGCTAATTCAAGTTTTAATAGTTTAATACTATTTTTTCAAGAAGCAGAAACTTTTATAAAGAATAACTTCTTTTCATAAAATTGATAATAAAATAGTTTCCCATATGCTGCGAACTTAAGTGGACACACTGTATATTCAATTTCGAAACTTCTCAGGTGCAAAATTGTTGAAACAAATATACAATTCTGTTTAGCTGAGTAAACCCAAAAACCCTACATAAACATGAACAATAGAAAATCCAAAGAGAAATTTTCAAAAACCTGGGTTTTAGCCAACCCTGCTGACAACTATTGTATTTGTTGGGGGCGACTTCAATATTAATTGTAGCGAAAGTCAAAATAATAAAAACAAAAACTTACTTCTGGATACTTTTTTGAGTTATGGATTGAAGCCAACTAGCCTCGAACCAACCAGACCATCCTCGGACACTCTATTGGACTTTATATTTACAAATTATGAATGTAATAATAATTTGCTCTTAAAAACAGGGTTTTCAGACCACTTAATGATATCTGTCGATATAGAGGACTTGTTGAGTCAAAAAACTCACCAAAAAAAAACTATAAAACGAATATTCTCAACAGAAAATCAAAAATCCTTTTATGAGAACCTGAGTATGGAGGATTGGTCCGAGGTGTATAATGCCAATGAGGTTGATGAAAAATTTAACAAATTTCATGGTATTGTTTTGTCAGCCTATAATAAGGAATTCCCTGAAAGATTATTTAAACTAAAAAATAACTCAAGGGGCTGGGTTACAACAGAAATTAAAAACATGTCATACAAAGTTAAAAATTTGCATTGGTTGTTTCAAAGAACTAAAAACAAGAATGTACAAGACAAATATGTTCAGTTAAAGCGGAAATACAAAGAGTTATTAGAAAAAACCAAACTAGACTACAATTCAAACTTCATAAAAAAATCATCAAACCTAAGTAGAGCTGCCTGGTCAATAATAAACAAAAAGAACGGGAAAAACTCTAGTAACTACTCTGATGTGCAACCAATTATTCTCAATGACACTGTTGTAACAAACCCACAAACTCTTTGTGATATGTATAATAACTACTTTTTGACCTCAGTAAATGGCATTGGTGATGAGTTGGCAAAGAACATTAAGAACAAGAGCCTATCCAAGACAAGTACCTCGTTCTTTCTTGAACCAACCTCATATAAGGAGGTTTATCAAGTACTTCTCCAGGTTACCAAAAAGCGTTCAAGTGGCTCCGACAACATTCCGTGTCATATAATACGCAATGTTGCTGATATTTTGTGCTTTCCTTTGGAAAATATTATTAATATGTCATTTCTCAAAGGCCAATTTCCAAAAATATTAAAAATCGCTAAAATTATCCCCATTTACAAGAAAGGAGAAAAAAGTGAAGTTAGTAATTACCGGCCAGTCTCAAACCTGTCAGTGTTTTCTAAGGTTTTTGAAAAAATCATGTACACTAGGTTGACATCATACTTCACAAGAAATAACTTATTCTCTTCTTCTCAGCATGGGTTTCTAAAGGGGAAGTCTACTGAAACAGCCTTGTTTGAATCAATCAATGCAATATACAGGTACCTAGATCAAAAGCATCACACAGCAGGAATATACTACGATCTTTCCAAAGCTTTTGATCTAGTTAACACACCTTTGCTTGCTGAGAAACTGGCGAATTATGGGATCAGAGGACCCGCTCTGGAGTGGATTATTTCTTACATGACAGATCGGCAGCAGTTTGTACAAATATCAGGGGGGGATGGTCAGATTGTTAACCAACAATTTAGATCGGCTACCCAGAGCATAAAATATGGCGTCCCTCAGGGCGGAATCCTTTCTCCCTTGCTCTTTCTTATTTTCTGTAACAGTCTTTCTGACATGTTTGATGAGGTCCATAAACTACATCAGTTCGCTGATGATACAAGCTCAACCGAACATCACGAAAATCACTTCGATATGGTTGCTAGTCTAAATCTAACATCTTCAAAAATATCAGATTGGTGCACTTGTAATGGTCTCCTCTGAAACCCTCAAAAGTCTGTAGTTGTTGATTTTAAGAACGTAAGATCGCAAAATAATGACCATCCACCATCCGTAGTACTACTCAATGACAAATACATTCCAAATAAAAAAAGTACCAAATTTCTAGGAGTCCACATTGACTCATCTCTTACCTGGGAGAGTCACATAGAAAGTCTTGCTAAAAGACTAGTGACATCATGTTTTGCTGTAAAAAACTTGAAACAAGAATTAGATGCAAAAACAACCTTATTGTACATCCATTCACATGTAATGAGTCGCATCAGCTATGGAATCATCATTTGGGGATCAACATCTAAAATTGAAAGACTGTTTTTACTCCAGAAGCGCTTGATACGTGTCTTGGATAGAGCTAAATGGAATGAACATGCTGTCCCAATCTTTAGAAAATACGAACTGATGACCATGTATTCTTTATACTTTTATAGGGTATTGTTGTTTGTTAGAAAACATCAAAGTTATTTTAAAACCAATAGTGAAATTAACAAGGGAATCAAAACCAGATTTTCTCAAAAGTTAACAATCCCTATTCACAAAACATCATTATTTCAGTCATCTCCACTTTATATGGCTACAAAAGTATACAATTATCTTCCTGCAGATGTAAGAAACATCCAAGGTTTTAATAGTTTTAAGAATAGGATTAAAGCTGTGCTTATGGATAATCCTCTTTACAACCACAATCAATTTTTTAATGTAAACTTTTAAATATCATTTTGTGTATTGTAATGTTGGTTCATGTGATTTTGAATATTTTGTTATTTGTTGCTCTGCGTGAAATACTATGTAGTACTGTGTAATTTGTTAAAAAAAATCAATTTATTGTAACGACAAATGTACTTAATGTGCATATCTTTATAAATCTGACATTTTATTCAAATTTATTTAATATTTATAGTAATAGCTTTAATGTTTATACTAGTGTAATCGACACATCCAATATACCAATGTATCAGATGGACTAAGGATTGAATAAATAAATAAATAAATAAATAAATAAACTAGAATTCTTATTTCAGGGTTTTCTCAAAATGTTAAAGACATCAAGGATCAATGTATTTATCATTATTTTATCGGAGAGAAAACTTTCACTCAATAGGTACATCAAAGATGAGGATTTTCTTTCAATGCAGATTGCAACATTTATGACATTTTTTTTCACACCTTCTACAAAGATGAAACTTTCACTTTGGAGTACGATAAAGAATAGAAGTACTTATTAAATGTTTTAAAAAAATGTGTAGTGGTTTAAAAAACACTTCCTTAGCTAAAAAGTTGATTGTTGTCTTAAACCAATCAAATCTCTAGAGCTCCTTGAAATAAATTTATGAGCAATCTGATTTGTTCTCAATGACTCATCCATTCTTGAGAACGAATCAGATAACAAAATTCATAAAAATCCATACCATATGATCCCATCCACCCCTCCTGCTATTCTCAACAGTTTGTTGAAATTCCGGCTGCGCCAAAGGATATACAGGACCACCATTAGTCAAAACCAAATTGTGCTGAGGCTGTAAAATTTCCCCTTGAGGATACATCATCTGAGCAAACTGCTGCTGATTGGGCGGATAACTAGGATTAAATGGCATCTCATAGCCCATATTTTGTATAGGTATCGCTTGCATAGGAATTGGACTAATTGTGCTGGAATAATATTCCTCCGGTTGTGGAAATATTTTGTCTGTAACAGGCGATTGGTTGTTGTCCATGCGGCTCTCTTTGTTGCGGTTCAAGTTTTTCCTGTTTTTGGCTCTGTACTTTTCCAGTTCTTCGTTGGAATGGGCAAAAGTGCAATTGGTGCCTCTGGGACAACTGCCTCTCAGGGTCAAATCGCGACACATGCTAATTTTATACTTGGCATGTTGTGAATGTGAGGTGTCTTGCACTTTTCTGCTTCCATGTTGTTGAATGAATTCTACTAAGCCCGCTACAACTTGCTTGACTGCTTCTAAAGAGTTGGTGCAGTCTTTCCAGCTAGGAGATGTTGATTCTGGATTGGGATCGATTCCAGCTAATAATTCCAATGGGCTTCTCAGAATTGACAATTTTCCAGGGTCTCCGGTTCTTTGCAATGCTATGACTAATTCCTGAACTGACTGGGCAAAAGATTGTGGCGTTTGGAGTTTGTCAATGATGCTTTGCATGTGAGATTTATGAGCGGTGTCACCGTATAATAAGGCAGACCATTGATCTGGGGCTATTCTAAGACCTGCCTCGGTTGCTATTTGGACTATTTGGGCATCATGTTCTCTGCGTAGGGTATCATAAGTGCGGAACTCTTCTTTTAGTTGCATTAAGGAGGAATCGCCATCCCTTTTTGAAACCTGTATTGGAAAATTTAATTATTATTTGCAGCATAATTAGGTAAAAATTCTTACCTTAAAACAAGAAGCCCTATATAAAAGTTGCACCACATGGCCTATGCTAGTTTTTGAAGCTTGAGGAAAGTGCGGTTCTAGTCTTTGCACTACAAACATTACTAATACTTTTCTAGACAAAGCAGAACCATCTTCCAGAGCTAATAATACCAATTTGAGTACTTCTTCTTGCATTGCTGGGCCTAAAAATTGGCAACCCCTTGCCCTAACTGCAGCCCACAAATTGGCCGATAACTGTTGGGGATTTTGATGTTGCAATATCAATTCAGTTACTGTACGTTCTCCTAAGGATCTTGCAGCTCTCATAGCTCTTGTTCTGCCCTCATCTTCAATCAGCTGACAGTTGATAAGGGTAACTAATTTGCGTTGCATAGGTCTAGACAATATGCTTCCACTGCCACTTGAATGGGGCTTCAAATACAAAGCCAATTCTTCAACATATTTCCTACATTTTGAATAATCAATTAAGCAATCTTTAGGTATTATAGTATTATCAAACAAGTCCTCTTTGTCAGTTGTGGTTTTAACATTATTTGGTCCGACTAGTTGAAGTAAAGCAGTATTTACAGGCAAATTTTCAATGTCCACGCTGATTAGGGTTTGATCGAAAGGACACTGTTTCCTATGTAAATTCGATAGGCAGCCTTTGCAAATTGTGTGTCCGCAGCCCAAGCTGATGGGGCTGCGGAGTTTGTCGTCGAAGGCATTGCAACAAACCGGACACGACAAAAACTCTGTCCACTGTGGGGCCTGGATTGGCATTCTGAAAACAATTTACACGATTTTTTAACAATAGATTCTTGATAATAAATGGCGCATTTACTTACTTTGAAGTTACATTAAATTGTTTCACATTATGATGACTAATGGGGCAATATTTTTGTTGTGAAATTGGTTTTTCTGGAATTTTGATCACGTCATGCTTGCTATCTATTTACGACGTCATATTTGTTGTGTTGTATTATTGTCACCTTCTGACATCTGTCACTGTTTTGAAGCACATCACGAAATAATTACAGTTTCCTGTAAAAAAAAACACAAAATTACTGATTAATCATAGGGCTTCGAATAATTACTGCATAGCTTTATTATTTAACAGTTTTCAAATAAAGCACTGAAGAGTTTTTTCCAAATGTTTCAAACAAAACTTATCAATTTCTTGCAAGATTATATGTAGGTTTGCATGGTGACCAACAGATGGCGCTCAAATCGTATGGCTAATTACAGTGACTGTGCTAATATACCGTGACTCTTGATACAACATAAGACCGCATACAACTTTTTTTTTGCCCAAGTTTCTACACGTTTTTTGTTTCACTTTTTTTCCATTCCAAGCGATTTATTTTTCTGCACTGCCCTTTTCCGCATTCCACTCAAAACCCAGACAGCAGCACTTAGTCTCAGGACCATATTATGGACCGACTGATAAGTGTCAGGTTGTTACATAGCAAGTACCTACTTTGTATCCTCTACAGCATGGAAAGTACCTGCTAGGTAATAACCTGACACTTATCAGTCGGGTCAAGGAGAATACACTCTCTTAAAAAGTGCTTATCGGCCTCGTTTCTGGTAATCGCCGCCATATTGGTTTCCAACCATTGCCGACGTCATAACTAAGTCGTCAGCTGTTTGAACAACTGCTTACTTCACATTTCACAACTGGTTGTTTGGCCTACAGTGGCTAAATAAACCTTTACATACAGTGGCGACAATAGAGGTCCCGCCGCCATTTTGTTCCCAACCTCTTGTTACTTTTAAATATGAATTTATAGAATTTAAATGGACATCCTTCATAAAAAATTGAAATCGACGTATTTGATGACTATTATTAGGTCCATCAAATACGTTGTTTTCCATGTTTTATGATGGATGTTCACCTAAATCCCATATATTTATATTTGAAATAAGCAATAGGTGGGAACAAGATGGCGGCGTTTTCAATATAAATATATGGGATTTTAGAACCAATCAAAAATAAGACAGCAATTGTCGCCACTGTAGGTGATAGAGTCACTGTAGTTTGGCCTAGGGCGGAAGGGGAAGCTTTGTTACACACAGGCCTTATGACTTATGAGTATAGGCCATCCTGTAGAAGTAGATCGACGTCAGACGTCATAACTAAGCGAATTTATAGTCGCTCCTTGAGGTTTCCTCAGACCTCAAGGAAGCCTTGAAAGTTTAGAATTGACATGACTAACTTGTCAAACAGTAGCAAGTGTCCATTCTAAACTCACAACCTCCAGGAAAATACTCAAGGAACGACTATAAATTCGACCCTAAGTCGTCAGCTGTTTAAACAGCCTAGTTTCGCGTCTCTGTTTAAACAGCCTATACTTTATTTTTTTCCAAGATAGATTTTGACATTGAAAACTTTGAAACATAAACTAAACAATGGCCGCGTTCACCAGATACAAACGTTGGTACACGGTTTGCGATTGTTCTGCTGAACGCTACGTTGAATTTGTGTTAAAACCAAACATGTTTTGCAAACGGTCGCCATTTTTGCAAGCATAATTTCAGAGTGCTTATAATTTTCAACACTGTGTTTTGTGTGGAGACCTGTCATTCAGAAGGTGACGTTCTATCATCGAAAAGTTGAATCGTTCAGCAGAACCAATAGTTTACCCAACATATTCAACCAGTTTTCCCAGCAGTGTTGCCAGAATTGAAGGATTTCCTTCAATATGAAGGGTTCTGATCTAAAATTTTGACTGCTGAAGGATTGAAGGTTTTTATCCGAATTTGAAGGATTTTGAGGCAAATTGTATATTTAGCAAATATTCCAATCATTTCACCAACAAATTTAATTTTTAATTTTTATTAAAATAAATTAATTAGTTGCATGGGAAAAAATACGAAACGCTAATTTCCACTACGCCACTGCGTCAGAATGTATGTGTGCCTTAGGCCAGCTATGAGTATTTTGTTTGTTCTTTTTTTTTTTTTCATTTTTAATAAAAGAGTTTCGTTCATATGTTATAGTATTTTTTTTGATAAAAAATATGTCGTTGTGCCGCCCCCCCCCCCCCCCCCGGCCGCTGTTTTGAAGGATATGAAGGGTTTTAGCCACGTAGTTGAAGGAATGTCGTCGAAAAACTCTGGCAACACTGTTTCCCAGTTGGGATATCGGGTAAAAGTTGCGAGAATCGGTGTAGGTACACTTGAAAACATAAAGGGAAAAAAATTCACGGGAAAAATGAGAAAATATTATAAAAAATAATAAAAAAATGAAAAACAGCTTGAAAAAACCCTAGTTTGCAGGGGCGTAGTCACGGGGGGTTTTGGGGGTCAAAGAAAGTATAATTAAAAACCACTCCTGGAAATTTATTAGAAATTAAAAATCATAATACAAATATTAACAATCTCAAAAAACTACATGCTTTTGACTTTTATTTTTTTTAGTAAAAGGTTGATTTTACCAGTAGAGTAGCGTTCCCAAAGGGGGACGAGGGGTCCGTGCATCCCCCAAATTTACTCATTTACAACGAATTTCCCACCTTAGTAAAAATTCTAGAAATTTACCTTACCTCACGAAATATATGTTTTAGCATATAGGTACCTACTTTTTGACCCTCAAAATTTTATTCTTTCCATATAAAGCCTTTGACCTTGAAATTCTACAAAATTTTCGCCTGCGGCGCAATTTTTTTTATGACGCCCCTATGGTCATGCAATGTTCAGTGGCGTAGCATGGGCTATTGGGCTGGTAATTGCATCTGCTAGCAAAAAGAGCAAATTTTGATGGACGTCACGTGATCATTTATCTTTTTTCACGTGTCAAATCACGTAACATCTGTCAAATTTCGCTCGCTGAGAAAACTTCAAAAATCAATAAACATCAAATATGCTTGACAATTAGCCTATCCAAAACACGTGACTTTGACAAGCAAACAAAGGGTATAGGCGATTTCGCCTCAGTTTGGTACCCCAGTTTGGTCTGTCAAACAGGTACCAATTAATTTCGGATGGGAAAATGATGCCGTCACAACAACTTTGGTAGGCGTTTTAGTCTGTCAAATGCTATACCGCGGTTGACTGCGGTTTGTAACTGGGTAGTGGAGGTTTGGTACAGTGGTGTAGTGACGATAGTCCGGGCCCGTGCTCAAAAATTTTATCGGGCCCCTAGGCCCTACTCCAGCGAGATAAAAAAAAATTGAAAAATGAGGGAAATATATATTTTTTTGAAATATACAGGGTGAACCTAAAGTATGGAACATATTCAATATAAAATAAATGAAGGCGTTTTGGAAAAAACGCTTAGAAACGTCGATTTTGTTTTTTTGCTTGAGATTTTTTAACGCCAAAATTTTTATACAGGTTATTCCAAGAATAGATGTACCATTATCAACTTTATTTTCTTTAAATCGTACCCTCTGTATGTTATGATATTTCTGGATTCTGCGGAAAATTCAAGACATATTTCATGTACAATCTATAGGTTAACATAGGAATGTAAGAAATGAAATCTTTACCACATGAGATATACAGGGTGATTCCATAAGTTCTCCATTGCGTCGTGGGGGATCCTTGAAATAGCCGAGTCAATCTGGGGGGTCAGGGTGCAACAAATTAGCAACAAGCTGATTCCAGCGGGTATGTTTAGTAAGTGACCTCTTATTTAACCTCCCAAAAGTCCCATTCAGTACTAGGGGTGGAAGGTTGAAAAAATGGCCGCCATCTTGATTTTTTTGTTTTTTTCAAATATCTCAGTTTCTATTAGTTTTTGCAAGAAAATTCAGGAAACCTTTTTTGTGGAGAATTTAATTCTTTATAAAAAGTGTTTATACCTTTTTTTGTACTATAAAGGATAACGGAGATACAGAACTTTTTATAGTAAATATTTCAAACATTTCTTTATTTTTATCCCTTTCGAAATGTTTAGAAAAAGTCTAAGGTTAAATAGAGAATGAAAACGATTTCCCCTGTTCCACTTCCAGCAAAAAGCACTGGGAATGCTAGAGGTGGAACAGGAGAAATCGTTTTCGTTCTCTGTTCAACTTTAGACTTTCTTTAGACATTTCATTCTATCCCATTAAAATTGATATGCAAGATATTTACTTGCCAGGCGTGTATAGGACTTGGACATGAATGCAATAAGTTCCTTATTGGAATCCAGAATGGCTATGCAGGTGCCTTCCAGCCCATTCCGTTTTTAATACCATCCATAGTAAGCTGGCCATTGGCAGGAATAGAAGAAAACCCTCTATGTAATCATCCTCGATCACATACAATTCTGACTGGATAGCACAACTCTTTGGTCGGTTTTGAGCTTTTCCATCCCTGCTTCGAATTCGTGAATTCTTGAGCTCAACCCCGGCAGTGCTTGGAAACAGTCCATACAGCTTGAACAAAAATATCTAGGCAGCGTTCTTTTATTATGAGAACTCGGATCGCAGAGCTCCTTACTCCAGAGCAATTTGTGCATAGAATCTTGCGACAAATGTCACATGGTTAACCAAAAAGCTAATGTTTGTCCTCCTTTTGGAAGCAGGCCGTATCACAGGTAGATCCATAGGATTGATTATGGTAGGAAAAAAATTTGATACAGAATGTTTATTCGCGGCTTAGGCCCGGTTTATTCATCTTCAGATAAAACTTGCTGGTTACTATCTGCAAGATAAATTTATTGTTTTATTATTCTATTGGTTGGCGGATAACTGGCCGACCAATGAGATTACAGATTGGGTTTTTATTTCGTTCTATTATTCTATTGGTTGGCGGATAACTGGCCGACCAATGAGGTTGCAAATTTTTGTGCTGCTGATAAGTAATACAATTTATCTTTTTCTCTCTATTCCTATTTGAGTCCCAATAATAAAACTGGATTTGTTGGCTCACTAAGAATGAAGTCCAGAACAATTTTTACACAATTAAAAAGATCACAATTTCACAAACAAAATGACTCCACACACAATCAGTATGACCAATATAGACCCATAAA